ATAGGTAGCGAGTCCCGGTGTTTCTCCCAGAGCTTTCTCCATTGAATTTCTCCCGAACAGTTTTCGTTACTTAATTTGTTTATTTAATTATGCTTTTAGAAATTAGTTTATCTCTCAAACCATTTTCACTTATAGTTTGCTCCATAAATTGATAAAACTTAAGGTTGTACCAGTCTCTGAGAGACGATACCCGGATTTCCGGTTTTACTACAAGATAGGAATTGAAGCATTACGCTTTTGCCCTATCAATAGTCACATATGATGTTCTTGAAAACAAAAGAATTCAGGAGAATAGATATTAGTAAATAGTTGGTATATATAATATAAATTGAAGTAACAAGAAAGAACTTATAGTTTAAAGATTTAGACTAACATACCATATACACGCGCAGTCATATCACAAAAATCTTAAAATATTTCACCAGCCTTCTCACACTACTCCAATCTTCTTCTATTGGCACACCCCCTCTTCGCATCCACGTACTTCTTGAAGCTCTCATCTTGTAAATATAAGAAAGTAAATATTTCTCAAACAATTCTGCGTACTCTAACATCAAGTAGGTGAAGTTCAACCTTGTGTGAACATCCAAAGACACAAACTTCTTCGTCTCAATCCCAATATAAGCAACATCAACCTTGAATCTAGTAAGCCTTGATGGAGATGACTTGATCCACTTCACTACATCTCGAACCCTTTTAATAGAAATCCCTACTTCTTTCAAGCCATAAGTGACAACTAAATTGATGATGTGAGCAACACAGCGGAAATGCAACTACCTCCCATCCAACAAATTCGTCCCCCACTCATGCATCTTATCTATCATGTAATCGGCCACAACATCATTCGCACTAGCGTTATCCATTGTGATGCAACACAAATTCTTGATCTTTCACCCATCTAGACAAGTACACAATGTCTCTGCTATATCAACTCCAGTATGACTAGTCACCTCAACAAAGCATATGACCTTATAACCAACTTCCAATCTTTACCAACATAATGAGCAGTCACACACATATAGTTTGCATTCTTCACAGAAGTCCATGTATTTGTGGTTATCGATATTCTTCCTTTGCATTTTGTGAAAAATAAATCTTCCAGGATCTTTTCTTTCAAGGAAGATACGATAACGATCTTCTCTAATAGTAAGCCTACCAGGAATTAGAAACAAGGGTTGTGTCAATGCCATAAATCATCTAACCCCTTCATGCTCGACATATCTAAAGGGAAGCTCATCCAATATTATCATCTCGGCTAATCCAATCCTACATTTAGTATGGTCAAACTTCCATGTCGAAAGAGATCCTACCTAACCATCAGTAGCTGTAGAGGTTGGCTACAAGTTCAACAAAGTTTGAGAGCTATCGTTCTCCTTCTGCCTTTTCCTCACACATGCCCTCATATGTGTATTCATTGTACTTGTCCCATTAAACCTTGGTTGTGCTGCTATCTTAGTCTTGCAGAATATACATAAACCAAATGGGTATCCTTCGACCATTATTGGTGTGAGTACATTTCAACACTCAGCTTTCCTCTTGTTTGTTGCCGCCTCATTGGTACTCCCCGCTCAATCTTCGGTTGCAAATTGATCTTCCCCAGATGCTACATTTGCATTCCCCACTCTAGCCACTGCTACATTCTCAACTCCAATAGTTGTTACATTCTCAACTCCAGCCGCTGCATTTGAAGTAACTCCGACTGTAGTAACTCCGGTAGAAGGAGTAGCAGGTTGCGAAGGAGCCCGAGGCTGAGAAGTCGGAGGAAGAGCAGCCTACCCTGTCAACCTCTATCCCTGTTCGATGAATAAATAACATGTAAATACAACAATGGCAGAAGCAACATAGGAATTCATTCAATACTACTAATCTACTATGCACAGCATAACCCACCGCCATTCCATCCATGTCATTACCAAACAAATACATAGCTAAACTAGCTAGCTAACTACGCCAGGGAAATAGCAAAAAAGAAAAAGGGAATGACGAGCTGCACATTTATCATCAATTGTCATTCAATTCTCTGCAGGCCATTCACCAAACCATTGACGGTGAGAGAGAGGACTCACATAAGACAGGGCGACGACGGGGTTCCAGGGCGATGAGAAGACATGGAGGACAAAGGTTAGTGGTGCAACTGTGCGACGAGCTACCTCTTCATCATAAATGATCCGCTTGTCCCGAAATGACCCGGCCCAATAGGGAAATCCTAATTCATTGGGCCTTTCGATACAATCAAATAGAAAGCTATAACTACGACAACGGGAGTGCGGGATGACTGACGATGGCGACAATGGTCGACGAATACTGGGAGCAGGAGGACGAAGGCAGCGGTGCGACGAGCTGGCTATGACGGTGAGAGTGTGGGATCACTGGGAGAGGATGATAAGTTATGAGAGCGAGAGGATGGCGGTGCGACGGGCTACTACGACGGCGGGAGTGCGGGGCCATGAGAAGGGTAGGGCGATGAGCCGATAACGAATGCTTGGCGACGATGAGGCGGTGACGACTGACGAGGGCAGGGCGATGACCACAGTAGGGTTTGGAACTCGGGGGAAGCGTCGGGGAGATGTTTTGGTTTTGCAATTCAAGATTTAGGGTTTCCATAGGCTATCCTCGTCTTCAATCGCGTTTCGCGATTCATCCGAGTCTCGCCAAAACGACGCTGTGTTTGGTGTGTGGAGGATGGTAGCGGCTGTTGCGGTTAACCGCCACGGTTATTCACCGCTAACCGCAAACTTATCTTTATCGCCGGTGCCTAGTAACCGCAACAGCCAACCGCATAAAAAAACGGTTATCGTTAACCAAAAAATCGGCAGTCTTGGTTCGATTATGCGGTTACCCGGGTAACCGGAGACCGACTAACAAGCCTACTTTTTAATATAAAAGATTGTATGAAATGAGTACAAAGAATTTATAATATAAAATATGAATCAAAATTGTAAAAAATAAAAATAGGTCAAAATAAATCTTGTTAGATTTTTGTATATTAAATCATATTATCTACTAATTTATTTTATTTGTATAATGGTATAGACGAATGAAAATTACATTTTCCAAAATGAAATTATATTAAAATATAATAAGGATAATTTTATATTTTCAAAATAATTTTTCGCAAAAATTTCAAGTGAAAACATATGTTTTATGTCATACAAAAATATCTTTCAATTTTTTAAAAAAGTTGTTTTAGAAACACTGTGTAAAAACAAATGAGTCTAGTCGAGCCGAACTTTACCCCAGTTTGAGCTCGGCTCGTTTATTAACGAGTCGAATTCAAGCTAGCTTGGTTACTAAAATCTTAACTCGTATTTGATATATTCATTTTGTATGTCATGTATGATACACATGATTAATGTCAAGATGAAAATAGTAATAACAATAGGTGAGTGTTCCATATTAACTAATCTCATGTCATGTTAGACTTTGTGGTATCATATTATTTAGTTAATAAATTTTAGGACTTTGCTACGGTGACATGCATGTCACGGTGACATGCACTTTTCGGTCGACCTCATATAGGATCAGGTCGACCTAATCTGTTGTTTCAGTGTAAAAACAGTTTCATGGTCCCTACTTTGGAGATTCATATCTTACAATTGGCTAGATGGAAATTTGAGATTAAAGGCTTGTTTCGAAGCTGAAGTGTCCCTCTACACATTAAAGTACTTGGGAGCTCAATAGAAAGTCCAGAAGACCATTTTTGAACCTGACCAAAAGGCTATGCCAAAACTGGGAAACTGCCTGAAAATGGCTAAGTCTGGCAACGTGTTTATCAAGCCTACTTTGGAGCTCAATTTGAGAAGCATGGATGCGAGTCAAGTCCAGGGGCCTCTACCACGTTAAATTACGTAGTTTTTTATACAAAGGCAAGGCATTGGATGAAAGATTGAATATTTTTAAGCCTTCAAACAAAAGGGTCGAAGTTGCTACGAAGGCTGTTTTTCTGGCAGCTTGCTTGTGCTCGAAGTCTGCCAGAAAAACGGCCTTCGTAGCAACTTCGACCCTTTTGTTTGAAGCCTTACAGATATCCAATCTTTAATCCAATGCCTTGAATTTGTATAAAAACATACCTAATTTAACATGGTAGAGGCTCCTGGACTCGACTCGCATTCATGCTTCTCGAATTGAGCTCCAAAATAGGCTTCACAAACACGTTTCCAGACTTAGTCATTTTCAGGCAGTTTCCCGGTTTTGGCATAGCCTTTTGATGAGGTTCAAAAATGGTCTTCTGGACTTCCTATCGAGCTCTCAATCACTTCAATATATAGAGGGACACTCCAGCTTCAAAACAAGTCATTAGTCTTCAATTTCCATCTAGCCAATTGTATGATATGAATATCCAAAGTAGACACCATAAACTGTTTTTACACTGAAACAACAGATTAGGTCGACCTGATCCTATATGAGGTCGACCGAATCCTAAATGAGGTCGACCAGATCCTATATGAGGTCGACCGAGTTCTAAATGAGGTCGACCTAATCCTAACTGAGGTCGACCGGAAAGTGCAAGTCACCGTGACATGCATGTCACCGTAGGCACACCCTAAATTTTAACTAGTCAAAAATAATTTTTTTCCATAGTTTCGAAGCAATCTATGATACATAATTTCATTTTTAAATTAAATAAGCCATATTTGCTCACATAATCTCGTGCTAAACTTCATATAGGGTGAAACATATAATTTAACAATCCTATGAATTATCAAAATCAAACTCATATAGATCGATTCGCTCATAAATCGGTAATCGAGTTGGCTCTCTAGCCACAATATTGAGAGTTGAGACATTTCATGAGTTCTAAATGAGCCAACTCATGAGTTGAGCTCGACAAGCCACCAAGTTGAGCTAGTTCACGAGCTCATTAAAGTGCAAAATGTTTAGCTCAAATTCGACTCATTAATAAACGAGTCCAACATCGAGTTACTCACGAACAGGTGAGCGCCGTAGTAAATAGCCAGGCCGCGTAGCAGAGGAGCACTTGATATACTTTTCGGTACGATATTAAACATCGGATCCACTTCCCCTCCCAAAATCAGAGGGCCTAACCAATAAACCATCAATAACCTATTTTCTTTTAGTATTAGGAATTCGGATCACAATTCCAGTTTCAGACACAAACGTTTTCTTTCTGGAAAAGTGGAAAACACATACAAAAATGCCCCAAACAAATCGCCAAAGGCTAAATCCAGCCTGAAAACCCCCAGTTTCCGTCCCGGTTTGCAATTCTCTTCGGAATCGAACATTCTCATCCGTTTCTGCTTTTCACTGCGCCGGTGGCCATGGCGGACGACGCTGGTGGTGGCAGTGCCAGTGGAAGTGGCAGTATTGTTAGTCTCTGCGGTGGTAGCTCCGACATAAGCGGGAGGCTCGGTTCGATGGACTCGGTGGAGTCACGGTGGGTCTTCCAAGACGACGACGACGACTCTGTGATTGATGACGACGAGGATGGTTTGCAACGTCGCGGTACTGGATTGGATTCCGACGAGGAGGAGGACGACGACGAAGACGATAATGCGGAGCAGCGCCTTATCCGCACCGGGCCGCGGATCGATTCCTTCGACGTTGAAGCTCTTGAGATCCCAAGCGCCCAGCGAAGTGACTACGAGGTGCGGCATCATGTTGGGTTTGCGAGATTTTCTTTTTGCACGAAATTTAGACCTGGTAGTTCTTTATTGGAAGTGGGAGAACCGTGAGTGATGTGAACCTTTACATGAATTTAGGCTTTTATTTTTCACTGTGGTGCTATCTTTCTAGATCCATGAAGATGGAATCCATGCTCAAGCTCCCACTAGAATCTCTCTGTTTTGGTCTCCTCCTGTTTAAGTCTCACTCATTTGACCTAGACTTACAAGTTTATGCATCTAAGTGTATTTTATCATCCTATTTGCTTTCTGGTTCTATACCGAGTGCCACGAAGATGGAAATTCCTTGTATAGCACTCAATAACCCCAGGAGCATTGCTCTCCGACAGGGAGGAAGTTATTCTCTTAACGGTTCATGTTCATTACAGGACTTCAGTGTGAGCAAGAAGATTATTCTAGCTTTTCAGACACTTGGTGTTGTATTCGGTGACGTTGGAACGAGTCCTTTATATGCATTTGATGTGATGTTTACAAAAGCACCCATAAGTGGGGAAGAAGATGTTCTTGGTGGATTGTCATTGGTCCTGTACACGTTGATCTTAGTACCTCTTGTGAAATATGTTCTTGTTGTGCTTTGGGCAAATGATGATGGCGAAGGTGAGTTCATTCTTATAAACTAGGAGATCTCTCTCAACTCTGTGTTCCATCTCTTATGCCATGAATATTTCAAATGAGGAGTGGCTTAAGGTTATGCTTTAATGCTGCAGGAGGTACTTTTGCCTTGTACTCGTTGATCTGCCGGCATGCTAAGGTTAGTCTTCTCCCGAATCAGCTCCCTTCAGATGCTCGTATTTCAAGCTTCCGGCTGAAGGTCCCCTCCCCGGAACTGGAGAGATCATTAAAAATCAAGGAAAGACTAGAGGCATCATTGACATTGAAAAAGCTGCTTCTCGTCTTGGTGCTTGCTGGTACTTCGATGGTGATAGCTGATGGAGTTGTTACACCAGCGATGTCAGGTTTTACTCGCTGCTCTCTTACTCATCTAAAATCTCGGTTCGTATGAAAATGTGCAAGTCGTCAGTTTAGGGTTCTGGCTTAATTTCCTGTATATATGATTTATGATATTCCAGTGATGTCAGCTGTTGGTGGTCTCAAGGTTGGAGTAGCTGCTGTAGAGCAAGGTAACATAATCATCTCGATTCTTCAAGTCCTTGCTTCTTTGCTGAGATTTTATACTTTCATCGGAAGATGGCCTCTGGGTTAGACGTTCTGGTGTCCAACATTACTTTCCTTTTGGTTTCTTATGAATTAGTTCAGGTCCTGTCCATTTTTCTCTGTCAAAGTACTTTTGCGTTTGCATGTCTAATCCCTGCAAACTAGGTATAAATTTGAGCAGATTGTGACTTCTACTTTTCTTTTATGCAGACCAAGTGGTGATGATTTCCATTGCCTTTCTTGTAATTTTGTTTAGTGTACAGAAGTTTGGTACAAGCAAAGTGGGACTTGCTGTAGGTCCTGCTTTATTTTTATGGTTTTGTTCTCTAGCCGGCATCGGAATCTATAATCTTGTCAAATATGACAGCAGTGTATTAAGAGCATTTAATCCTGTTCACATCTATTACTTCTTCAAGCGGGACTCAGCTAAAGCCTGGCGTGCTCTTGGAGGTTGCCTTCTATGTGCAACAGGTAAGTCCATCTTGTGGAAATGCTAATAATCCCCTTGTCATTATAGTAACGTATATTGATATGTAATTGGTTAAAGTACCCTCTTTGGTGTTTTTCTTATTTTGGCTTTGCATTTGCGAGCACTTTTTGCAACTGATAGATATTTTTTACAGGTTCTGAAGCCATGTTTGCAGATCTTTGCTATTTCTCTGTTAGATCAATCCAGGTAAAAGCAAGGACAATCACTATTTCGTGTTTCAGATACACTGCAGCTTTTGTGCATAAGTTCTATCCCTGGTTGCTTCTGTGCCTCTAATCCGTTTAATAGTGGTCAATTGCAGCTTACTTTTGTATTTCTGGTGTTACCTTGCCTTTTGCTGGGGTATTTGGGTCAAGCTGCATATCTAATGCAAAATCATACTGAAGTTCTGGCTGAACAGGCTTTCTTTTCGTCAGTTCCAAGTGAGCTCTTTCATTCCCCTTGTTTCCTGGCCAACAATATTCGTGATAATCGGGACTAATAGTGAAATGTGTTTCTTTTTCTTTTCCATTTGGTGGAGCTAAACTGTTTCTCATTTTATGTTTTACCTGTGGATTTAAAACTAATGAAGCTTCTTATGTCTGTAGGTGGTGCATTCTGGCCTATCTTCCTTATTGCTAATGTTGCTGCATTAATTGCTTGTCGAGCAATGACAACAGCTACTTTTTCTTGTATAAAACAGTCAACAGCACTTGGTTGTTTCCCAAGACTTAAGATTATCCATACTTCTCGAAAGTTCATGGGTCAGATTTATATTCCAGTCATTAACTGGTTTCTGCTGGCGGTGTGCATATTGTTCGTCTACTCTATTCAAAGCATTACTGAGATGGGAAATGCATACGGTAATAGCTTTACTGCCAACATTTTCTTGTCTTCCAACTAGGTTGTTCTTTCATAATCTATTGAAACGGCCATAAAACTGTACTCTCTGGAACAAGAGAGTGCTCTGGGTAACTTTGTTTTATGAAGATTGTTATATTTTGCCATGTCCTAGAATTCCCCCCATACATTTGTGTGCAAAAAAATTGAATCACGAGTTAGGGAAAACTCTTACATGATCTTTTATTGTTGTCCAATCTAGTTCAGTTGAATACCAAATTCCTTGCTCCTGGAATTCGACCACTGGATTTATTGAGGGTTGGCTGATTCAAGTTCTTATGATCTTGGACAAAATCAGGAAAATGCTTCAATTAAACGTTTTAACTTCATCTGACTAATACTTCAATGTTGCTACCTTCTTTTGTTTGATAGGGTATATTTTCATACTTATTTGAACCTAACAGTTGACATTGACTTGTTGTTTACAGGGATTGCTGAGCTTGGGGTCATGATGATGACAACCATTTTGGTGACCCTTGTTATGCTCCTTATTTGGCAGATCAATATCTTTGTTGTGCTCAGCTTTCTTACGATTTTCCTAGGGATTGAATTGACATTTTTCTCATCGGTTTTATGGGGTGTGGGAGATGGAAGTTGGATAATATTGGTGTTTGCTGGAATTATGTTCCTTATCATGTATATTTGGAACTATGGGAGCAAACTAAAATATGAAACTGAAGTGAAGCAGAAGCTGTCAATGGATTTAATGAGGGAATTAGGGTCCAACCTAGGAACGATTAGAGCCCCTGGAATTGGCTTGCTCTACAATGAGTTGGTGAAAGGGATACCAGCTATATTTGGCCATTTTCTGACAACTCTTCCGGCGATTCATTCAATGATCATCTTTGTCTGTATAAAGTATGTTCCAGTCCCAGTTGTCCCTCAGAGTGAACGGTTCCTTTTCAGACGAGTCTGCCCAAAGAACTACCACATATTCCGTTGTATTGCCAGGTAATGTGCTCATTCATTCTTGATGTTTGAAAGCTATTCTCCTCTCAATTATATCCATCGTTTGTGGTCACAGTTCTTTTGCATAAAAAAATAAAAACAGGTACGGTTACAAAGATGTGAGGAAAGAGAACCACCAGGCCTTTGAACAGCTGTTGATTGAGAGTTTGGAGAAGTTTATCAGGAGGGAGGCTCAGGAAAGATCGTTAGAGAGTGATGGGGATGATGATATGGAGACAGAAGATGATGATTACTCGAACAAAAACAACACTAGAGTCCTAGTTGCTCCAAATGGAAGTGTTTATTCACTTGGCATGCCCCTACTGGCTGAGTTCCAGGAAACCGGTAACCACAACTATCGTGGTTCCACTGAGGCAAGCACTTCTTGTTCTTCTCCTGAGGTTATTGCGAAATCAGGGTCGTCGGCAGATCCACTTGATCCTGAGCAGAGTCTTGATCGGGAGCTATCTTTTATTCGAAAAGCTAAAGAATCAGGGGTTGTGTATCTTCTGGGACACGGAGATATTAGAGCAAGAAAGGATTCCTGGTTCATCAAGAAGCTAGTCATTAACTATTTCTACGCTTTTCTGCGAAAGAACTGCAGAAGAGGGATTGCCAATTTGAGTGTCCCTCACTCCAATCTGATGCAGGTGGGCATGACATACATGGTCTGACTTGGTTTTCAAGTGACAGAAGTGGTTGGTTCTAGACTTCTAGTCGCACAAGACCATAAAGGAGGAATTGTGTGCCATACTGATTAGCCTGTTCAACTGGTTATTTGCCGATCAATGATGATTCATAGTGTGTGTGTGAGTACCCCATTCTTTTGTTGGACTATCTGGACTATGAAATACTTGTGCACACGCAATTGCTGCGCTGGATCTGTCGCCCTTTTTTCTTTCAGCAAGTTTTGATATTGGTAGGTCAGAGTGTCTTGTAATTGAATGGAACCGCTTGTGGCTGGATGGCCAGTTTGTAGAATCAAATTTCATCTACCAGTTACTATGTTAAGTAGTGGATAGTTGAATGCAGCCTGCTAGTAGACGATGAGCTCCTCTGTTGTAGAACCAAGTTCTTGTTCCTCCCTCAACATCAAATTGACATGAACTGCATATCTATAACTTTTTTTTTTTTTTTTGCATTCGATTCGAGGAGCTTGTCGCTGCGTACTGTTCGAGGAATGGTGCCCGGTCTGCGGCTCTCTGTCAAACAACATACTTATTATGCTTGATGATGTCTTTATTGATCACCCTCGTGTAATACTTATAATGAGTTGTCGACTTCTTATGCAAGGAAGAATGGATGACACCTGAAAGGGAAGCAAGCAAGTAGCCATGGTGGGGGCACGAATCTCCACAAAAGATAATGGTGGAGCAACCAACCATGAAAACAAATATAACTAAAAATTGTCATGCCATTCGCTTCCATTCTGTCTCTGCAGTTCATGATCGGGAGCTTGCTTGCCAGTCAGACCTCTCTACCTCCTTGAATGAAGTTTTCGCCCTTGCTCGGAGGAGTGTTGCTCCCCAAGAGATAAATCTCTCTATCTTGCATTTCTCCATCTATTGTGCGTAACGGGGAGTATTGGGATATTCTGCTTGGGAGACGCTGTTCGATCTTGCTGCTTCGATGAGAACTTGAGCCTTAGAAGCAATGAATTTGTCATCACTCCTATAGAACTCAATCCCATCAGGGCTCCAGCTATAGATGGTGTCAGCATTGTGCCAGTGACGGGCAGTAACACTCCAGCAGCTATTGGGATCCCAACCTGCACCACACAGTTTACCCAGAGTCCTGTCACTTGGTTCAATCAAATTCTTAAAATACCAGATCAAGTATTTACCTATGGTTTTTAAAACTTACGATGTTGTAGCCGAAGGCCCACCAGAGATTCTGCTTTATGGTCTTCATTGTTAGTTTGCTGAGCTCCAAAGCATCAAGCAACTGAGTAAAGGAAAACGAAGCAAATCAATCGATTGCCTTGAACAAAATAACCAAAGGTCATTTACCAAAAACTGTCTATTAGTTATCATGACAACAAATGTGTACGTATTTGTTGGCGTCTCTACGAACAAAGAAGAAGATGCAACGAAAGAACTAATTGACAGCATCATGCTCAACCACAGTTCCAAAGCTGTATCATCATATGGCTTTTGATGTAGGTAGGTACGTAGCGTAGGTAGTACCTGTGACAGCCTGTTGCCCATTAGTACAACTGAAGATACCTCAGTAGCAGCTCCAACTCCTCCTCCCATGGCAATTCCAATGTGTGCTGAAGCCAATGCAGCAGCATCATTGATTCCATCCCCAACCATGGCTACCAAGTGCTGATCCATCTGAAGCTCATTAATGAACTTCTTCTTTTGATCCGGTTTAACTCCAGATACCACCTGAAATCATCTCCACGCCGAAGTTTCAAATTTTCAATTTCAATTTAGCATAGTAAAAACAGAGTCCAAAAAAGAAAAGGAAGCAAGGAGAATATCAAGATGCACAGCCTATCAAACTGTTCTCGTTGCAAATTTGGAGTAAAAGAAGCTTTTCCTACCTTCTCTTGTGGAATACCAACAAGTGATGCAACATACTCAGCAGCACTCTTTTTGTCACCAGACAGCATGTAAACATTAATTCCTCGACTAGTCAAAGTCTGAACTACTTGTCTGGCATCTTCCCTAATCTGATCTTCAAAATATATCAGACCAGCAAGTGCATTATCTACGCCGACGTAAACAACGGACTGATTTTTAGTATCCTCTGCTTCCTCAAATTTATCATAAAATAGATTGTCATCAACTCCGTTCCTGCCAGAGCAATAAGTGTACTTGCCATCAATATATTTCATAGGAACAAAAATCTTAATAGGTACTACAGAAACACAAAAGTTACAGTTAACATACCTCCGAACCCATTCAAGCGTTCCGACAGACACTTTCTTATCATCAACAATTGCTACAGCACCAGAACCTGGCTCCTCAGCAAATGTGCCATCTGTTGCCTACATAGTAGTGTTTTATTGTATTACACTTCAAAACTAAAATAAGAAAAAGTACTAGCAAATAAGAAAATTATCATCTGGTTTAAGAATAAAACTTAAACGACACAAGATTAACTGAGTTCACTCATGTCCGTCACGGTTATAGGACATAGCGCAAAGAAACCATTTTTCTGGTTGCAATTTCGTTATCAAGTCCTAGTTTTTACTTGAGAGCTTCATCATCCTTGGAATTACTTTTAATCAAAAGTAGGAAACTACAAAGGGGTGGAGAGGAGGAAAGATACCATCCTGTAATGTAACAACAAAGACACCATCCTGAAGTTACAGTTAGACATCAAAGGTTGATCATTTATTTGTAAGATAAGAGATACCTTATGATTGCGGACACCAGCAACTTTAGCAGCTTCAACTATGGCCTTTCCAACTGGATGAACAGTATTATACTCTACTCCGGCAGCTAATTTAAGCACTTCAATCTCCGACCAGATGCGTTTTTCATTGGGCCTGCAGAGGACATGCCAATTGTCTAACTTAGATTGCAATTGAGCATCGATATCAATGATTTTACCAATTCTGCACCACCGCCTACTGGATAAAGTTCACTTAAAGAAAGTGGCAACTTAATTTCAGCCTTTAACACTCAACTGTGAAGATTGATCTTCTTCTGACCCAAGAGTAACAATCTTTCTTACAACCGGTTTGCCAACTGTGAGAGTCCCTGTTTTATCGAACACTACGGTGTCCACTGTGGCAAAATTCTCCAAAATATGCCCACCGCGTAGAAGCAATCCCCGTCTTGCCCCCAATGAAGTTCCTACCTTCGATAATTTATAGAGAAAGAGATGAGATAAGAGAGAGGGAAAAAGGTCAGGGGGACTTATCGCTGGACCGTGCCCAATACACTTGGACCAAGTTTATTGACATGGAACTGGGGACATGGTAATAGAAACTCTACCAGAACAGCTGTAGGAGTTGCCAAACCAAGAGCACATGGACAAGCAACAACCTGTAGTTCCGACATAGATGTTATGAATAGAAGAATGCAAATGGTTACTGTAGAGACAAAAATCTTATTTACATGGCATTCATTATAGACACAGAAGCGTCCATTTATTTTCATGCATCTGACCCTCGAAAGAAAAGGAAGTAGAGAGGGACAAACATATCATACCATAACACTGCAAGCAAGCTGTAGGCCAAGTGAAACTGCATTCCCTTGGTGAAGAGCTGCAGGTAGAATACGTGTCCCAAAGAGATTCCAGAACAGAAAGGTACTGGCTGACAGTGCCATCACTCCGTAAGTGAAGTGCCCAGAGACCTATCAAATTAGGAGACGCGATAAAAATCATCTTCGCAAGATCATAAGAACTTCAAGTACAAAAGGATTGTGCTTGCAATACAAGGTACACACGGAGCATCTTCTCAGCCAACAGTTCCTCTAATATGAATTAGCACTAATGTGGGCCAACAATATAACACATTTATGAAAATGAAAGAAACCTTATCAGCCAATCGCTGGACAGGGGCTTCTCTGCTTTGGGCTTCTTCTACCAATCGCACAATATCACCTATGGATGTCTCGCCACCTGGCCTCCGCACTTCCACTGTCAGTGTACCATTTAGATTTATACTTCCCGCTGCTACTTCACTCTACCACAGAGACATCAACACAGTTTGACATAATATGCTTAATGTCACAAATTACAGAAGAAATGTTGTGCCTATGGGCAAGACAAGCACATAAAGAAAATGGTAACATGCTATAACCACTTTACCCCAGGAAGTTTGGTCACTGGTAACGGCTCCCCTGTGAAACTTGACTCATCAATGGAACTTCTACCAGCTCTAACCATTCCATCCGCTGGAACACGGTCCTGAAGCAATGTAAGAACATTGTCAATATTACAGATCAGCTCATTTTTTTCTATCTAAAATTGGATAGATCAGTTGCAAATCTAGTTTATATTGTAGTATTATTAGTCAAACATTACAAATTTAAAATTTTAAAGTTTAATGATAAAGTCAACTTTTAGAGTTAGCTGCTTGATATGCACTCAATTTTATGAGTGTACCGTAGAAGGCACCATATGCATATAATGTCGTAATAAATATTGTCTATTTCTCATATGCATCTATATCTCTGCAGCAGTCTCCCATAAACCCACCATCAAACTTTATCTACATGCGCAATAGTTAAGTTAAATTCACAAGTTCAAACTTCCAATTTTAAGTGCCTCCTACAGTTCCAGGACCTTGATGTGATGTGCTACCATGGTTATAATCAAATCCATGAAACTGATGCCTGGTAAATAAAGCCCTTAAAAGGACACAAAAGTACATGGAGGTATTACTTACTCCAGGCAGAACAATAATGTGGTCCCCAACTGAGAGACTAGTACAAGGAACTTCAACAACTGAATCTGCATCCTTACTAGAGCCATCAATCAAAAGACGGGCTTTCGTAGGTAAAACACTTAAAAGTCCAGTCATATCACTGGTTGCCTCAATCTTAGCTCTTTGTTCAAGATTCCTGCCTAACAAGACAAATGCTATTAACATGATTGGCTCCTCGAAAAATGCCTTCCAGCCCTGATTATTCAGAAATCATTCAAAGAAAAAAAGTAAGCTGGCCAAGTTATGAATAATACCGAATTAACAATATTAAGTCACAGGCAAGAGAGTTCACATAAAGGAATATAGAGGAACTTGACTAAATCATAACAACATCCAGTTTGAATGATTCATGAAATAGGACCTCGGGCAACATTTAGCGATAACTGTCAACTAAACATTAAACAGAAGTATAAATTGCCGAACCCTGTTTTCTTTCAACTTGGAGAGCCATACATGTTAGTGCATAGAGCATGAAATTCAAACAACCTTGATCGGAGAGGTTACTCACCAGCTTGGGTATTAAGGCAGCAAATGTGCTAACAGTGAAGGAGGATAAAGCACCAAGGCCAACTAATGTGTTCATGTTTGGAGCTCCCTTCAGAAGGCTTCTCATTCCATCAATAATAAGTTGACGCCCTGGGCCAAGCAACGTAAATAACGACAATGACAGGTGGAATCCTGTTGAATGAAGTAAGTGGACCCATGAGGCCTTATACGCAAAAAAATGAGACAGATGGCCGATCAGGCATACGGCACAGAGAGCCCAAGACACCGCAAGTTCACGACCTATATAAGAGACAAAAATAAGAGGTAATTTTCAATCAGTAAAACATACTTCTAACCAATGCAAGTAACAATATCAAAATTCACAAGGATTGTGATCAAATCTGTAAATACATGCAAGTAACAATATCACACTATCCTGTTGCAACCTTAACCAAAATATTTAGCCACACGGCCATTAGATGAAGACTTAAAACATATATTGGGTGTAACAAGATATTACCACTTTCTTTCAAACGATTATGTTTTTCTTTCATTTTCCTGTCAAAAACTTTGAAGAAATTCTCTCTGTTGCCATCTGCAAGAAAAAGAAGTCAATTTCAGTATCGTACTATTAAGTACCAAAAAATAGTATCTTACCCCCCCATTGAAGAGAAAAGAGGAACAGGCCAAACAAGAAGCTTGAAAATAAAATAAAAAACTTCAAATGACAGTCATCTTAGGAACATTTCTTCAGAAATCTAATGAGCACAATTAAGTGCATTATTAAAGTGCTTCAAAGACCATAAGCACTTTAGGACATCTGCAATTGCATTTTATAAAAAATTTGTAACACTATAAATAGCTCATCTCTTTGTGACATGCTTCGGAATCTAATAGATCATGATTACAAGTTGCAGCCATTTAATGTCAACACTGATTTGAATTTATCAACAAAAACCAATACTTTCTTCATAGCAATTCTTATGTTCTGCCAAAGTTCAAAGCTAAAAGAAAAAAAAGGACAACATAAATCAAAAATAGATTTTTCTTTGCCATGAAGTTGTTTTCAGGCAGTAGTAATAATCAAGGATCGATCTCATTCCACAGTATACTCTGTCATACTCAGATATACCAATGTGATTATAGAACATCAGGTTTTATCTGAGGAATTGCTTCACCAAGCACAAAAGAGTAATTCTTCTCTAAAAAGCTGGCAGGCTCTCAGCACACATTCTACAAAGGGAGTGCAGAACTAGGGATACAAAATCATGCAAATCGCCAATCATTCCTTCTAGCTCTGTCTTCTCTTAATTTGTATCTTCAAATGATCGCATGAGTGCGCTTAAAGACTGAATACAACAACAGGCAGTAGCCCCACAAATTGGTACTTTATTTCAAAATAAACATAAAATGATCCCGATCATCAGAGACAGAGCACAAGGCGCAGTAGAAACTGAGGAAGAAGGAAAATATCTGCTAGTTCTGACAAACTGTTGGAAGACTCACTGTCTCTGGCATACAAGTCATCCCTTTTTTATCCTCGCATACAAACCATCTTAAATGCAACTATTTAACACAGGAACCAACGTTTTTCATTATTAAAAAGTGATTGCTAATAGCCCTATCGACAACTAGATAACTGAAAGTCCACATGGCAAGCCAGCAAATTTCCATGTTGGCATCTTCGCATCAGAATCTCTCATCAACCACCCAAACTCATGTAGCTCCTTACCCACCTATTAATCGAAGGGATAAATAAGGAACATTAGTTGCTAGTCTAGACTTCCTCTGAGATCTCAGAAAATGGTAATATGACAAAGACTTTACTTCTCATGGAACTGAAACTTGATACATTAGGGACATACCTAATCATGTTTGTTTCTCTCGACAGGAAATCTTTCACATTCTAATTATCTCCATCAACAGCTTCCTGACCTGCGACTAGCCCACCAAACTTTAGTGCATCATATGGAAGCCCCAAATGTAGCGAAATGTTTCTCTAATTAGCGATCAATAAGATAACAGATTGGTGTTCTGGATTTGAATACGCTCAAGTCCTTTAAGAAGTTGCAACTCATAATACGAGTTCCTATTTGGCTAATTACTGCAAATGTTACATTGGAAAATGCTAACGGCTGTCTCTTAACACAAGTCGCTTGGGTTGCCTAGACCTATACGGTTTGATGGAGAATAAGTAATTTCTTTTCAAGAACCAAACATGAATACAACATCATATCCAACTGGAAAAACCTGGAGACCTTAGAAAACTCAAACTAGTTTCCTTTCATGTCACACATGCTGTGGCAAAGCAACAATACAGTTGCCCATGGAAAACAGTTGGTATGCCAACATACGTAATTGGTAAACCTTGCGAGACTCTGAAAACCTTAATATCATGCTGTTGACGTAACTTGAAGACTTAGCCACACATGAAGCTAACAAATCTCAGGGGACAATTACCTCGAGGGTTTGACGTGAAACCACAACTAGTCAGGTGCTTAGACAGTGCCTCGCCAAGCTGTTTTTGCCAATTTGGTATCACTTTTGCTTCAGAGATGGGCCACACTATTGCTGTCTCTGTTGTGAGATTGACGCTAGCAGAAGACACTTGTGGCTGTCCACAAACATGGAAAATCGGGTACAGATCAATATTGCAGAAATTAGACTAAAAAGCTCTAGTTCAGAAACCCACGATCTGAGCAGATATATATAAGCAATTGTCAATACACCATACTACAGATTTCTGAAACCAGCTACGGAATAGCCAACCACACTAAATCCCTAGCATTTCTAGTGACATGCTTTGGACGTCAGAACTTCCAAAATTTCACAAGTCAGCTTAGAGAGCAGGTTTTTGAATGACTTGACTATGTGTAAGCACTATGTAGCAGACACTCACTTGGTTTTCCAATATCCTCTTGACACTGGCTGCACATCCTCCGCATGTCATTCCCTGCGCCATCAACAATGCACATTAACATTGCTGGCAAAAGTGATTATTTGGTGAAACAATGGCTGGAACAAGGAATCAAAAGCAGATAAGAAGGCCGAAGATTCTTACTCCAACATCTAATATGATAACATCGGAGGACAATACGGAGCCTTCCTCCGGCCCGGCACCAACCAAACTCGACTTCACATCTCCACCGTCCGATCCGCCGCCTCCACCGCCACCGCCACCGGCGTCGCCGCCTTCACCACTCCCGCCGCCCCCAGAAGTTGCAAAAGACGCGGCCGAGATAGGACCGCTCTGCAGACGCTGCCTGAGCAATGGAAGGACCGAGGACAAGGTTCTCAAGTTCCGAGGATGAGCAGCAGCAGAAAGGAAAGCAGCTGCGCCGTACTGAGCAGGAATTGTTCCGAACGGACGATTGACCAGTCGAGCCGAGAGAAGGGAGTGGTACTTGCGGGTTAAACCATGGTTTAGGGCTTTGGAGATGGTGAAGACAGCTAGCGTGGTTGCTGCGGAGGAAGCCTCCATTGTTACGGGTCACGCAGATGAAGAACTTGCTGAAGGGACGAAACAGCGGAAACCAGTCAATTTTTATTGGTTGTGACTTGTGACTGATAGTTTCAGTATTTTTTTATAAGAAATTAACAAACATGTTTTTTTTGCTGGACACACCGTGAGAAAAAGGTGTCGGTTGGTATTTGAGAGTAGGGCTGGGAAGTGATGCGGTCTGGTCCAAATCAGATCATATATACGGTCTATGGTCCAGATCGAGAGGTTAAAGTGTAAATCACAGACCAGACCACACACTATATGGTCCGGTCCAGACCACGCCTGTGCGGTCTGGTTCGGTCTGGTCTGGTCCAAATAGACCACACTCAACGAAAAATGAATAATTTGTTTAGTAAACCACACAAAAAATTGAACCAATAACCAAGAAAAATAATTGTTATTTGTCTTAAAACATTAATCCTAACATGCATGAATAATTTTGATACTCTAAATCTTAGTACATAACAAAGATACAAAGTAAAAGCATCCCAACTTGCACCATAACGTCATGACATTAACATAATGTCATATAGAGACACGATTATCTCTACTCTCTGGTTAAATGTGGTTGTGAATGAAGGAGGGACGAGATTCACAAAACTAAGGTTGAGACTTGGGTGTCGTTGTGGGAGTTGGGAGAGTGGTCGAATGGGTTGTTAACACGTATTGACAAGTCAGTTGGGTCCACGGTTTGGTCTGGTAAACCGCGGTCTAGACCAGGCCAAACCAAGATATCAAAACATAAAATAATACAGACCCTGGACCAGACCAGACCATACTTAATGGTCTACGGTCGGGACCAAACTGTGCGGTACGGTTTGTACCATGATTTTTCAAACGGTCTGGTCTATTTTCCCAGCCCTATTTGAGAGAGGATTGTATTTAACGAATAAGTTGTTTTTCTGTTTTTATTTGGGCTGATTCCACAACTATTCATCAATTTTGAACTAAATTATTCAATATGACAATCCTGACATGAACTATTTTTGTATTAGTATTGACCAGCGTTGATCGTTAGCATTTAACAAAAAATTGACTCAACACTGATGTGGCATCTAGCGTGGAGTTTTCATATTAATTTTTATTTATTTTCCAACTCACTAAAATAATAATAAAAGAAAAGTCACTCAACCACTTTTCATAAGAAAAATAAAATCTTCCCCTGTGAAATAATGGCCAACAAATGCTGAAGGTAACATAGCTTGGCTGGTGAAAACGCTGGTCTGGTTGGCTCATGAAGTGAGAGGTCATGAGTTTGATTCCCAGCGGCTAGGGCTGGTAACCGGTTCGGTAACGGTTAACCGGTTACCGAATAAACCGGTTACGGTATACCGAATGCCCTGAAGCCACGCCCGAATGCCGCTACCGGTTGTCAACCGGTAAACCGGTTACCGAATAACCGATTAACGGTTTAAAACCGGTATACCGAAACACCGAGCCATGGGAGCGAAAACCACATTCCGGTTCGGTTAACCGGTAAGTAACCGGTAACCGATTATGGGCAGAAGGGTGGGCCGCCGGCGACTGGGGAAGATGAAGGCAAGCTTCGTCGCCGGCGACGGGGGAAGATGAACACGTCGTCTGGCAAGGGCTTGAAAGGGCGAACGGCAGAGTCGGAGAGGGAGGAAAATCGAAAAGGGAAGTGGGACTGTGGTCTGTGGACTGTGGGAGTGGGAAGGGTGGAAGGAGGCGTCGTCGGGAGCGGCGGGCTGTGGTCTGTGGAAGGGCGATGAAGCTGCGGCGGCGGCCTGCGGCTCTCCAAGAATCTCGGCAGCGGCGTTGAGATGGAGACTGGAGGGAGAGGCCGAGAGGAGAACAGAACAGGGGAAGAACGAAGTGGGCGAATTAGGGTTTTTTTTGCCCCTTCTTCGTTTTGACTTTTGGCTTTTGCCTATTTCCCCGACCCCGACCCCTTGTTTTGGCTGCAGCGCTGCGTTTTGCCCCTCTCCCAAACGGTATCCGGTTTACCGGATAACCGTCGGTTTATACCGGGTGGGGAGGTGGTATACCGGCGCTGCGTTTCTACCCTCCGACAATCGAGTTTTCCGGTTTTCGGTATAACCGGTTACCGGCGGTTACCGGTTCGGTAACCGGTTATAGCGAAAACCGGGAAACTGATTGTCACCCCTACCAGCGGCGCCGCTTGTGTGTTCCCGGAGGCATCTCTGAGTGCTGGGGACAAAGTCCCTCGATATTGTGTCTTGTACAGGTGCTCCCCAGGTTTGGTAGACCCCGCTGTCACAAAGTGGCACGTGGGGTTGAGGTTCTTGGGTTATAAAAAAAATGGCCAACAAATCCTCCACCACTTTCTCGTCCTTCTCCTTCCTCCGAATTTTGATCTGTCTTCCCCATCGCATCCGGGTTTGTCACAATGGAGCTGATCGAAGACGCGGTGGTGGTGGTGGATGCATCCGTCGTTGATCTGTCCTCGTACTAGGAGTTCATAAACGAGTCTGATGCCGACTCCTCGGATACTAAGTCGCTGCTCAACGACGAGAAGGCGATGGAGATGAAGGAACTGGGGAGCATTTTTGCGACGACGGTGGCGCCACCATGGATGGCAGGGAAGGTGACAGTGGTGAAGTCGAGGTCCGGGAAGTTGGACCAGAGGAGGCGTCAGCGTCTGGAGAAGACAGTGGTCTGGGCAATGGATCCGACGTCGTCACCCGACGGGAAGCATAGATGTTTCTTTCGTATTTGGTTGTACTTAGTTTTACTTCAAAACTTTTATAAACTTAATTTAATTTGCAGAGGTTCATTGGGTTTTGGTGAGGAAGCATTGTCTCTTATATACAAAATGTCCAATTCCATCCAATAGTTTAACGGAAAGATATTAAAACGCTAAATAGACTAACGTTTTTCTGACTTGGCAAAACAAATTGCCATGTGGATTTGTGAAAGTAAAAATAAAAAATCTAAATCTAAAATAGGCTAGTGAAAAGCCTGTGGTTCCATCGTCTTCGTCTTCTTCCTTCATTCTTTCCTTTCGTCGCCATCCTCCCACTGCCAACCGGTGCTACGAAACAACGACGGGAAGCCGGAAGGCACGAAAGATGGGGGAGCTCGATCTCATTTGTGGATCTCGATCCGGCGTAGCGCTACGCACGAAGACGATGTCAAGCGACGGAGTCAGGATTTGGATCAGGATCTGATGAAGAAGGGAGAAGCTTGGGAAGAAGCACTCAATCTCAACGATTCTGACATCCCTTCTCTCCGACATCACAAATGGCACCACATACATCAAGAAACCCCGACCTCAATTGTTGGTAGTCTCTCCCAATCCCAACCATTTCTGAGGCAGCGTTCGATGAAAAAAGTTAATCTGCTAACAAGCTTTATGGTTAGTATATACTCACATGGCCAAATTGATGGCCACGTAGGCGAAGCTAAGATCCAAGGGTTGGAGCTCAATGGCTGAAGGAAGGGGTCATTTAAGTGGAGTTTGGTGGCTTCTTGACTAAGAGCCAAGCTAACCAATAGAATCACTATCCAAAATGAAAAAACACTAGTATCCATATGTGTTGAGAAATCTTCTATCTTTTTATTCTAAAAATTCTGCTCTTCTTTCCCCCTATGAATTTAGATATGATTTGGTCTTGCTCATCTTTAGAACACTGGAGCTTGGAGTGCCTCTAATGGGGATTTGATGTTGCAGGTTTTGTTACTTATGGTAGACTTTTCCTCTCCTGCGATTGTTCTATTTTTTTTTTTTGGTTTCTTGCCTTTTTGGGTATTTTTGGTTTCCTATCGTCCTGTTTTTTTTAGATCGTTACTATTTAATGTCATGGATACCAGTGGTGATGGCAATGGGGCGGGGGCGGGAAAGAAACCATTTCTGACTCTTCCATCGCACGCTGCCTCACAAATGGCTGGGATTGGGAGAGACTACCAGCAATGGCGACCGAAGTTTCTTGATGTATGTGGTGTCGTTTGTGATGTCGGAGAGAAGGGATGTCAGAATCGTCGAGATCGAGTGCTTCTTCCCAAGCTTCTCCCTTCATCATCAGATCCGGATCCATATCCTGACTCCTCCACCACTTGACATCGTCGTCGTGCGTAGCGGTACGCCAGATCGAGATCCACAAATGAGATCGAGCTCCCACATCTTTCCTACCTTCCAGCTTCCCGTCGTTGTTTCATAGCAACGCTTGGCAGTGGGAGGATGGCAACGGACGAAAGAATGAAGGAAAAAGACGAAGACGACGGAACTACAGGCTTTTCACTAGCCAATTTTAGATTTAGAATTTTTATTTTTATTTTTACTTTCACAAATCCACATGGCAAGTTGTTTTGCCAAGTAAGAAAAACGTTAGTTCATTTAGCGTTTCACCATCTTTCCGTTAAACTTTTGGATGGAATTAGACATTTTGTATATTTTTTGAAAAATGATTATTATTGACAAAAACAAGTTTTGTCTATACAAATGTATTTTGACGGCTATTATAAAAAAAAAAAAACTGCAAGGCTTGTTTGACGATAACTACATGAATACTGTTCTACAAGTATCAAGAGCAAAGATGTGGAGAGGGGGGAAAACACGTATCAACAAAAACTCTGCCCCAATTCCTTCTTCTCCTGTGTAACTCCTAACTATGGAGCTCTCCAGAAGTATAGTGATAGTCACACGAAGTTCTCAAAGAACCTCTACAAAAATAGTCCTAATTTAATTTCTTCTACTATTAAACATTCTAATTCGAACATTGTTCAAACAGATAAGAAATGGTAACATCGTATTGGTTGCCAAAAGTCAGGAGTACAATTCCATAAATCAACATTGTGAAAGTTCCCACAGGAGAGATCAAAATAGGAATCACAATTTCACACTCGCTATTCATAAAAGTACATATACATACAAACACCAAATCTTAATGGTCGTTTCCACCGGCACCAAGGATCCATTGTGCAAGATGAGTCAAATGTGGCTCTGCTTGGGAATTCCTGCTCAAGACCGGTCCTAGACTCTGAAGTTCAGAATTGAAATCCCGCTCGAATTTCCTGAGATGCAGTAGCAAGAAGTGAAGGAGGAAAGAGCAGGCAGTGAGAAACCACAGAAATTGGGAACTTTAGCTCATGTATAAGAATGTATGCAAATATGTATGTGCTTCTGACTTACAGTATAGAATCCATAACAGCGGAGTTCTGCTTCGGGGCTCGTAGCGCTATCGAAGGGCCTCTTAATTTCCCTCGTCCCTTGCGCTTTTCTAAAGCACGGGAACCCTCATCAGCTATGTCAATGGATGATGATATCAGCCACTGAGTTGCAGCAGCATACTGTAAGCACAATGATTTCAGCCTGTCGACCTTCTGCGATTGTCACTTACACGTATAAGCCTCACATCAACTGACTTGTGATGATATACAATAGCTATACAGTTAGTTTCCGTGCCATCAACAAGCAAGGAATTGTTTAATAGAGGGATTTATCAGCTATTAATTTTTCGACGAACCTTGAGCAGTACAGGTGACAAGAGCAAACACTCTGTTAAACACTTGCCCAGAAAAAGATCATGATGTTGGATAACCTGCCAATTCAGAAAAGAGCAGAGTCACACAAATAAATAAACGTACCACACCTCTATATGTACAGTATACACCAACTGACGAACTAGTGTCCAATATAATCTAATAAAACATCATACTTCGTCTATGCTCCTTGCGGCCTGAAGTCTATTATACATCACATGCCAGTTAGGTTCCAGTACCTGAAAAACAAATCGAATCAAAGCTCTATGAATTAATCAAATCGAATCAAAGCTCTATGAATTAATGTCAGATCCTGGATTCAACAAGAAATAAAATGACAGTTTTAGGACAAGAGGTGGATATCAAAACCCCCCCAAATCATCCTCCATTCTCAAGGCAATGTTATCCTAGTTGTTTAACAAACATTTTTTGACCAACTTTCAAATACCAGAGAACCATCTCCTTTGAGCTCTATTAAGCACATGTAAGAATAATAATTTAATCAAGGCCTTTACAAAACGAAGCTGATTGTAAAAAAACAGGCACTATCAGCTGCCAGACCAAGAATCCCATGAAACTACATAAGAGTTTTATGTCCAACAATGTTCCGTAGATTAATCAGAATCACTTTCAAGTATTGAGTAGGCAAAGACAGAAGCAACATGGATATGCACAAGAGAAGTATACCCAGCAACATGGAAAAGTCAAAACTAAAATGGTTTTGAGGGAAAATAACAACATGGTCAGACAATGAAAGCTTCATTCATGGACAGGCAACAAATTCCAAAGGGAACAGAGGGAGGCAAAACAAGAGCACCCAACTGAAAAAAATATATTGTTATTTCTGATACTTCCACCATGTCAAATCTACCACAAGTACTGAGAATATAGACAGGTCAAACCTGCCTCGAATGTTAGATAGTGTAGAAGACTATGGATGAATTTCAGCATACTACGGCACAGAAGGGATGATCTGGAGATTGCTGTTCCCTGTATCTTGAGGACACGAACTCCCTGAAAAAGCATAAGTAGAGCAAGTGAAATCATTGTAGGGAAAATGAGGCAGGAAAAAATGATCTTACTAGATTAATTTAGAAATGGGAAACATACTTGATGCAATTGCCAAGCCCCAGAAAGCTGCCGGTCTACATGCTTACAATGAAAAAGAAACCGGAAAATCAACTGGTACTTCGTTAGGGCTCTTTTTGAGATAACAATCGACAACGGCCATTGAACCTGATCAGTCAAGACAACATTCAATGAACAATAACAAACTCTACACCATATTCCATGATAGTACTGACATACAGGAACTGCTTCATTTAAACAATACTGAATATGTGAAATAAACTTGTTACATGGGATCTCAAAGGAATTTCAAGAACTAAACCTTATAACTTAAAGAGAATGTCTCTAGACCGGTAATGGTTGTTGGTTCTTCTAAATCATCATCAGTGCCCGAAACAGTAACTTCAAGATCGTTCAGACTACCAAATCCTTTGCGCAGAGTAGATCTTTCCTGAAAACAAGTGTGAATAAATCTTGAGACTTCTAACTTGATAATCTAGCCTCTTATAGGAGAGGGAAAAAGAAACAAAAGTTTGGGGTGGAACTCTTACAACACAACATGTCAAGTCCTCGTGGCAAGGGTCTGCTGCCGCAGCTGTAGTACGCAAAGCAAGGTCTAGCAGAGACTGTTACAATACAAAGGAATTGTGGCATTCACTAATATGATATTATTATCCTTAATTTCCTTTCAACTTATGGTTTCATTTATAAGGAACATATAGAGCTCCCCACCTGTAGCTTCTCCACTGCAATATCATCAAGCTTTTTCATGAGTTCCTCTCGTGCTATGTCCATGAAATGAACCAAGAAATCACCCTGACACAGTACGTTAAAATTAACAGTCTTCAATAAGTTCAATGGGGTTTCCATTTCTCAGCCACAAGGGAAAACATAATATATGTTGAATGGCATCTCAAATTATTCCAAACCATTAAAGAAATCCAACCAGATTTAGAAGAAGAAAAAAAGTTTAGTTTTTTGTTCTATGAGCAATTCTAATTTCTTTTCTCCCACATGGTCAGACAAATAGGGTTCCACCACATCCTCTGCTGTTACAAAATACAAAATAGTATGTTCGTTTGTATCCATATGACTGCATTTGCAATAGAGATAACCACAGCTTTTATCATCACAATACTAATACATGACATGGGTGACCACCTTCTACACAGCATCACAAACTAGAAATGATCTACCAAAAGTCAGGTTTGACAGATCAGAATACCTGATCAAGAAGGAGGTAGTGCTTAATTGACCGCAGCTTCCCCATTAGATCATACTGCATAAGAAAAAGATAATAGTTACTTCACTCAGAGTATTGAAAGCAACAGCTACTAGACTATAGTACTGAATACGAAAAAGTGATGGAAAGGCATGAAGTACTCAATGAAATAGTAGTAACCTTTTCTTTAATGAGATTTAAGAGCTCATTGCCTGCAAACTCATAAGCAGCTTTGATACACTCGAGATAGTGATGGTCTGAGCCAAAGCTTGTTAGCTTAGAATTCTCCGAGGCAGGAACCTGCTACGGCAGTAATAGGATAAAAAAATATGCACCAATCCTGGTACGGTTGAAAAGAGAAAGAGGCTTCTTCCTTCTCAAAAAGGTGCAAGAATACAGTCAAGGATAATGGAAACAAGAACCTGAACATTATGTCCGCATTCTCTCATGACATTTAAGTATTTTCCCGTTGTCAGAATTATCCCCGATATATTTTCAAGGAAGCTGGGAATCCCTTCCTTAAGGCTGTATCGTTGCCGCCAATACTTAGCATCATAATCCTCAGTGAGGCTCTCCTGAAAAACAACAGATTTTGCATGTTTCAAACAATTTGTTTTACTAGTAAACTCAAACAAAGCTGGCTCACCTTATGAAGAGATTTGTTTTCAGCAATAAAAAATTCGCCATAAGGATCTTCAATTACTCCTTCATACACCCACCTACATAAGATATGTTGATTAAGAGTGGCCAAAACAAAGTCAAAGTAGCAAGCTAAAGTACCAAAAAACTGAAATATACATATAACAAGAACAAGAAACACTGAAGCTTTTCACAAGCCTGATCCAGGAAAGCATTGAGAAGCATGACAGGAAGCAGAGCACTTTTCAACAATATCTCCAGTCCTATTACCTCTCTAATATCCCAAGATATGCATTACTTGCACATTCTGTCATCTTTTCTAGCAGTGACCTCACGGCATTATCACCAGCCATTGCTTTTGCCTGGACACAGCAAAATGTGAGGTGATAAGGCTCACAAAGCTCAAGGAGTTGAGTTATAAAAAAATGTTAAGCTGTTAATACAATAGAAAACCCAAATCTTCAACCAAAAAGACAAACTAGCTAACACACCAATATGATGCATTTTGTAATTTGTTAGAGAGGCTGTCAAGTTGTAAGTTTGACTACTGCTTGTCTGTAAAGTAAAAATAAGATAGGATATCTTGCCTGGCTCTGCAAGAGGTTCAAGACTGATGAACCTAAGAAATTATTAGCTGATGCCTTCTGAACCACAATGGTCAATGCTTGCATGGAAGGCATTACAGGCTGAAATTTAAGAAAGAAATTTCAGGTGCTATGCGAAATAAAAAAGTTCTGATTTGTGAAGAACCAGGACCAATTCAAACCTGACAATAAAACCATAATCCTTGAATGGAAAGCCTTCCTAGCCGAAACTGATGCTCCAGCTGTGCTACCATGGCCTTGTAGTCCTGATGAGACAATTCAGAAATGATTTTCAGTTGGTGACACCTACTAAATTAGAACTGTCAGGTGGATAAGCCTACATTAACACTGTTAATTCAACTGCTACAACCATAATGGTGACAGATAAGCTCCTGTTTATGAAACAGATACAGGGTTGTTCCCTATAATTGCCATCGCTAATTCCATTTAAGAGGTCCCACCAAACTATGTAGGCACAGTTGAAAAGCATCCAACACTCAACATAAAAGTAAATAAGAAGGTAAATCTATCAAAATTAGAGACTTATGAAACATGCACAAAGCACAAGAGCAAATTTACTCAATATATAGTCCAATTCCTTCCAAAAGGCTCACAAAAAACTTACGAGAAGAAGAGCCCTAAGTCCAGCAGCAAAGGCATGATTAACCAAGCCATTCTTGAATAGTGACCTCGACTCAACAAACTGGTCAATCAGCAGGTAGCTCTTACACAGAGGGACCAACCTATGCGTAAATTCCTGAAATAGAAAATTTACTTAGTCAGATCGAAAGCAGCAGCAAAAACATCAGGGATATATTATTAAGTTTCAGTTTGTAAATATGCATATGCCAACACTATCTCAAGAAAACAGAACACAGCAATAGATCCAATTAGATATTAATTACAATCAGTGTCGCAAGAAAAGAAAAGAAAAACTCAATTTCGAAAAAGTTAGTTTACCCAGTTATGATTCGGAATGAGAATCAATATACCAATCATAACCTGACAGTTTGTTTCCCTGGCTATAAAAAAACCTCGAGCAGGTGTTACCCAACTGCAATTTGTTTTTCAACATTTGACTAGCAAATTTTCAAATTTACAGCATCCACCCAACAGCCAATATATAAGCTACGACATAAAACATTGGAGTGCAAGAAAATAAAAGCAGAACTTGAGTGCAACATAAACAATTAAATAAACCCTGATTTTTCCTTTATTCTTTTAGTAGAAAGTTACCCCTGATTCGTAGTAAAGCACTGAATAATACCTGGAGTACCAAATCCATTGATGCATCAACCTCGAAAGCAATCTCATCCTCCTTTCCACGAATTCTTTTGATATAGATATACCGGCCTTCAAGCCCAACCAATGCAGACATCAGATCATCAATGACAATGAGCTCCTATTTTATCAGAGGAACTCATCAGCAACACAGTTTTCCATGGGAAAAACTTCGGGTCTAATGAATTTAACTCCAGCATGAACGAAATCAACAACCAAGTAATTTAACATATTCGTGCACTTTTGATCAATGCAGTTCGAGAGTTGGCTTTTATTACTGATAGAAGGAACAAGTACTATTTATATTTCCAAAATAGATCAATGCACAGAGCTGACTTTCGCATCTCCGGCAAAAAGGGGAACCATCTTCTACTATCCGTGGATAATTGCTGCATTTGCAGATGGTACACCTCGTTTTAGAAGTCAGCCTCCAGTACATAAATAAAATCCATAACCATGTTCCATTAAGGGTAGACCATAAGACTTCACCTTTCAAACAGGAGCAGGAAAAATCAGAATCGAGTACATAGGAAAGACAAAAACTGTACCTGAACGGCAGCGTCATAACAACCAATGGCCTTGTTCAATCCAGGGCTGCTTAATTTGTGGTAGAGGCAAAAAGAGATATCAGTACAAGCTCAGGAGACAGGCCCCCAAGACTTGGTTATGAGAAAGAAGAAAGGACATCTATAAATTAGTCCAAAATGCATAACTATGATGCAGAACATACCAGAAGGGATCCAAAGAAAAACCCTTCGAGTCATCGGCGAGGGGCGAAGTATGTTTGGCTTCCTGAATCAGAGATGTACCAACATACCATCAGAGCAGGAACCTCGAAAGTAACCAGAGCTTCTAGACTCTACTGGTTTGGGAATTACAACAAACAGCAAGTCCGCACACGCACACCGGGAAACAAACAATGTACGCTAAGGGAAGAAGAAAATGAAGAAACCTGGTGGAACCGGCCGGTGAGGAAGGGTCTTTCGACGTTCCAGAGAGGCGTCGGAGGACAAGAAATGTTCGCCGCCGCTGTTTCCATGTGCAGAATTCTTCAAATTCAGTCAAACCGGAATCCCCAATTTCAAGTCCAATCGGAATCGCCAACTTCAGTCCACTCTGATTCTCAGTTTTAGGGGGGGCCTTCCTCTCTCTGTCCCCTCTCTAGTCTTCTCAAAGCAAAGGGGAAACGGGATCGGAGAAGGAAGAAAACGGCTCCTCAAAGGAAAGAGGAAAGGAACGGTGGCGGGTCACTGTGTGTCGAACACGCAGGCAGGAGTTTGTTAGTTCCAGAAAACTTATTATTAGATTAGGTCCCGCCCAGTTGAATATGTAGCCGTGCTAAACCTTTGGTCCAGGACCAGGAGCGTTGTTTTTTGCCGGTACGCGCTCTGTAGTGTGTAGACTGTAGAGCCGAGATGAAAGAGGAAAGCTTATGTGGATGAATGAATTGTTTATGGCCTATTTTGCGTATGTTTTGGAACCTAGTATTGCATGCCCAAATAAAAAAAAATAGGGTTCCAAACACCTTGTCCTATACATCTACCTACTCAATGTGCTTTGAAATGTTAGAGGTCATGATGATGTGCATTATGGGGATAATAGTGTAGCCCTACGGAGAATGGCAGTGAGTGTTCTCATGTGAGAGGCAACCGGTCATAGCGTTTAAGTTAAGCCGTCAAAGGGTTGACACAAGACAAAGATGCATTCACCATTGATTGTTTATCATCTACTGTGATGTCTTCTTTATATCTTATGACTAACTAAGTTTGTATTGTTTAGGAATGTGAATTATATAATGTTTTATGCATCTACTTTCTATGATTTAAAAAGATTCTTTGGTTATTATATGCATATACCATTCAATGCCTATATCATAGATGTTTTAGTCATGCGATGCTTGTCTTACTCGAATGCTTTAGTATCTGATGTCGTTATCATTCTATGATTTTTTTATTTATTATGTGTTGCTATGGTATTGATTATAATGTCATGTTAAGAGATAGAAAACTACTCTTATATGATGTGTTATTACCTTGTGTATGTATGCTTACTTGGACATGACTATGCATATATATGTGAGATTAATGCTTGATACTTAGATCATCAATGTTATAGACCATTGTTATGGCACATAGAGGACCTAAGTAGTCAATGTGATATCCTTACTTCCTTGTTTTAATGTTTAGTTCATGGCATGAAGTGAAAGCACGCATTGGCTAGTTATAGTCCTCTCGCATGTATTAAAATCTCATTAGGATACTTTAGTGGAAGGTATATGGTATCGCAAATAGGAGATGCATAGATGCATCTTGTTAAGGATATTGTATATGTGATCATGTAAATGAAACTAACTAAACAATAGTTCTTTTACTGCTTTCTTGTTTATATGTTTTTGTTATTAGATAGTACATTTACATTCTTTGCATTGTTATTCGAGCATAAGTACGAGTTTCAAAATACTTGCTAACAAAAGACCCTATGGAATACGATGTTGTGCAAAATCTAGGATTATTGTTTGGAAATATTACTAACTAGCAAGATGAACTTGCTGACAAGCCGACAAGATGAGCTGATGAGATCCTAGGTGTAAAGATGACATGGCAATAAGCTAGCAAGATGAACTTGCTAACAAGCCATCAAGACAAGTTTGACGGCAAGCTAAAAGAAAACCAAATAGTCCCTTTAATTCTTCAATTTCATTGGGTTTCTATCTAGGTTTGTCGCTGCAGAAGAGTGAAGAAGGAAGAGTCACTGCCACCGGTTGTCGCTCAAAGCTACTGCTACTGCCAGTTGACGCTGATGTTGCAGTGTTGCGCTTAACTGCATAATCATATGAGAGAGGGAGATGATAAGGAAATCTACGCTTATTTTTTTTATTTTAAAATGATAAATAATGAAATTAGGAAAAATTATTTGAATTTAATTTTTTTAATGATTTTGGGCTGACGAGGCAACATGATCCATTGACCACTAGTGAATGATGTTAACCATGCAATTTAACGGTCAATCTACGGGTCATGCCAAAGTAGTATAGACGGTGCATAGTTTAGGTCATTATGGGAATTTCAGAAACTATAAACCAAAGTAGTATGTTTATGTAAAGTTTGGGCCAATTTAAGGTATTAACCCTTGATTGTATGGATTTATATGGGACGAGAACAAGTGAAGGAAAGACAAATCTTCTTTACCTCCTAATTCTGTCAAGAACAAGAAGAGAAAAAAAAAGTGGTAAATCAAGTAGAAGTGTTTCCCACCTTGCATCTCCAAATGTTGTTGTTCCTGAACAAGAAGCTCCTCTTCCTACCTCATCCGCTCTAGATGGTGCTTATATTGTTCTAAATCCTAATCTCTTTGTAACTGATTTTGCACTTATTGTGAAGCCTTCTAAGAGCAATAAGAGGATATGCAAACTTAGGTAAGACGCATATGATGAGTTTGAGCTTTTTTGTGCCAAGTTCAAATGTCAGAAAGGACGGGAAGAAGACATTGAGGAAGGCAAGATGTTTATTCTGCAATACCGAGCTGTGCTACTTGACGAAATGACACTTCTTGTCTTCGTACACATACTACAACGTGTAAGAAAAAAAAGGAAAGAAGAAGGCGGTCAAATGAAATTTAGCCTACAACCATGTTCAAATGATGAAAAAAGGTTAAGCAATTGGAAATTTTAACAAGGAAAAGTTAGGTATGCATTAGCGCAAATGATAGGGATGCGTTGTTTATGTTTGTTGACGATGAGAGTTTAAAAAATTATGTCGTGATGCATGTCTTATGTTTAAGATCCCTTTTATGAATAGTATAAGATAAGATTGCTTCAAATTTTTTGTTGAAGGGAGGAACCAATTGGTGGATTATTTTAAAGACAAATGTGATGGTAGGATCTCTCTTACAACATATTGTTGGACTTTTATTCAAAAAAATTAATTACTTAAGTTTGACTGCTCCCTTTATCGAGAATGAACGAAAGTTACATAAGAAAGTCATAAAGTTATGTCTCACTACCAGCCATTGGACTTGATATTTGTGTGGCAATTGTTTGTATTTTGGAAGAATGAGTTTTCAAAGATGTATTTTCTATCACAATTGATAATGTAAGTGCAAATGATACTGCGGTTGGCTACTTGAAGGAGAAATTGATTGATTGGGGTGGTAGTATCAAGGGTGGGACATATTTGCATCTGCGTTTTGTGGCTCATATTATTATTAATCATTATCACTGATGGATGGGAGGAAATTGAGGTGACTATCATACATATTAGGGAGGCTATAAAATGGGTTCGTGGTTCATCTAGCAGGTTGGATACGTTTAAGGAGTGTGTGGCCTTCCATCACATTGACTACCGGATGATGTTGTATTTGCCTGTTCTCACTACTTGAAATTCGACCTATTTGACGTTGGCGGCATTTGAGGTGTATGAGAAGGCTTATAACTTTCTTGAGGCGGAGGATGGAGACTTTATGAATGATCTTTTCAAGGCTAATATGTACAAGGGTGACAATTGGTCCTCCAACTGCATCAAATTGGGAGAGTGTTAGAAATTTGTGCAATCACTTGAGTTATTTCCATAAACTCACAGTGCTTGTATATGTACTAAATATGTGACATCTCATCTCTTTCTTATAGAGCTTTGTAATGTTTTCCATCAGCTCAAGCAAATTGAGATTGATGATGAGGAGTAAGTAAGTAATATGGCAGCTAGGATGCATGCAAAGGCAACAGAATATTAGTATGAGATAGATGATGAGAATTTAAGAATGAATAGATTGTTCTAATATGATAGTGGTTTTTTTTATCCTAGATACGAACTGAAGTATCCTAAATATGCTTTGTGGAAGTTATATACAAAAGCATGAGGGGATGAATTGGTGGATGAGATTCATGGATAGCTTACCAATTTTTTAATCACTACAAAGCGATGATCAAACCTCCTAGTTGAGAGACACACTCTTATGGTAGTTCCACAATAGTTAGTGCAACAACAACTTCTTCAATGGGTGTGGTCGATGTGGGAGTGATACTTTTAAGGATGAGCTTGAATATGATGGTGATGAGGGTAGTATTCATGCAAATGAGTTTGAAAGATATTTGGTTGAACTTCGTGAACCAAATGACAAGAATATGAACTATGATGTCTTGATGTAGTGCAAAGCCTATGTTTTTTTAGATATCCCACTTTGAGCGAGATGGCAAAGGAAATCTTTGTTGCCCTCATATCAGTAATAGCATCTAAGAGTGTTTTTAGTATAAGAGCATGTGTGTTGAATTGTTTCAGGAGTTCTTTGACTATGCAGATTATGAAATCTCTAATTTGTAGTGAAAATTGATTAGCAAGTTCAGCATTACCTCTCGAGGATGAGGAGTTGGAAGATCTTGACAATGGTAAGTGTTTTGTTGGTTCGTGCTTACTGTGATTATTGGGTAACTTCTTCTTGTTGGAAACTTTGATTTCTTTATATAACATTTTACGTAGCTTTCAAAACTGTGGTATGGAATGTGAATATCTCTTCGTCTAGATTTAAATGTGTAGGCATTGATGATGTTCCTTCTATAAGAACTATTGGTGTTGGAGATTCTAGCGAATAGGAGGATGAGGAGCAAAGCACTTACAAAGAAGAAGAATCTGTGAATGATTGAGAAATCAAGAAGAAATGAACATATCCCTGATGTTTAACTACTACTTAGTTTATTTTAGTATTTTCAATTATAAACACATGACATTATATGTATTGTTTATTTCTTTGGTTGCCCCTACGCGTTTGTCCCCTCTCCCCCACTTTTAATAACGACAAGTGTGTTCCTCTGGGACAGGATTCAATCACAACTCATTAGGGGTTTTGATTTTCACAACCAAATGGCAATTTGGGTATGCCAAAAAAATATTTTATCAATTACTTTTTATTTATTAATTACACATTAGAAATTAAAAAATAAAAACACATATTAAATGTATTTCCTTATTAAAATTTAAATCTATATTAAATATATTATTCTCTCTATCTCGCTCTCTTCCTTTTCCAGCAGCTTCTTTGTCTCCGACCGACAGACTTCTGCCGGTGAAATCCCTCCATCAAACTCTCTTCGGCCACCCGCAAAAATGTACCAATGCATTAAAAAACTGTACCTGTCCACCTGATGACGTTACCACTCCATCGATAATGACACCACTCCATCGATAACGATACCACTCGAGTGGAGTGGTGAAGTTATCAATGCGTGTGGTAGTGTTACAATGGAGTGGTAGCATTATCAGTGTAGTGGTAACGTTACCCGGCGGACTGATAATGCTATCACTCCATCGATAACGCTACCAGCCTACCACTGCACAGATAACTTTTCCAATGGTAGTTTTATCAGTTTAGTGATAACAATACTACTAGACGAAAAAAACTACCACTTGACCCGAACGCAAAAAAATCATATATGAAAATTAAAAAATCACAAATCTTAAAAAATGAAGGGGACGGAAGGAAGACTAGTGGTGGAGGGACGCGCCCGGGGAGAGAGGAGGCCGACGGGAGAAGAGTAGTGGCAACGAGGGCGACGACAGAGGAGGGCTGTGAGAAAACAGATGGCGGCTGGCAGGAGATAGGCGACGATGGCATCAATGGAAAACGTCGACAACACGAGATTGGAACATGACATGCGACCTCATCCCAGTTAGGAGGAGATTCAGTGGGGATAGTAACGCAACAACCAAGAGGAGATTCACCACGGTCGAAGGATGGGCTTGAGGGCAGAAGCGGAGGAAGTCTCGCTAGAAAAAAGGGAGGATTTGGAGGGAGGGCGGCAGCTAGGGTTTCAGAAGAGAGAATGATAAGATCTCAAGCTCGTGAAAGCCTAGGTTCTTTTGATCAAATTCGCGCAGTCAAAGTCTTTTTAGGGTTTTCTGATATTTTCTCTCAACAGTTCGAAAAGTAAAGGATAGAGCGGAATCGCCAATGAACTTCAACACAAAATCGGAAAGAGGGTAGAATAATATAATGGGTAGCAACTCGACCTCAATCAAGGTGGGTGTTTGATTGATACAAAGCTCGCTCGAATGTTGGAGATCCACCAATAAACAAGGACAAAATTCATGAGCAACATGCTTAAGGAACAAAAGGTTTTTCAATTAATGAAAGTCTCAAAATCTTCTCAAATTCGTGTCTTACAACCATTTGAATAGGCCCGGAAAATTAAACTAATGAAAACACCAAAAAGGAAAAAGAATCCTAATCGAAAAAGGTAACAAAACTCGGATGAGCCAAATTCCCGGCCGGGGCCCGGGGGTGCCACTGATCTGAAACCCCGGTCGCCACTTTGGATCCCCGGTCGGGGATCTCCTCCTCGCCTGGTCGGGGATTCTCTGCCGCGGGAATCACATTAAAGGAAGTGGAGAGATGAAGAAGATAGAGGGGTATATGTAGAGTTATAGGGTTAGTAATCCCATGTGGTTACATTTTTTCGTCTAAAAATACTCTTGATTTGATCTCATCTATCTATTTAAAATAAGCATGAAAGAGAATAGACCAAATGAGATATAGCCTATAGGAGGGTTATGATGGGATCCCATTCTGCGTGCCTCCCTTTATAAATCTTTCAACCCCTTAGAATTAAAAATAATAATCAAAACGAAATGTTGGATTGACTGAAACTAATGTCAAAGTGCCAACATCATACTAATATAAATAATTTATTACTAATATAAGGTATTAGCACCCTAAACTCTCCCTACTATTCCCCTTAATCTTTTTTATTATTATCTAAAAAAATTTAATAAACACTTTTTCCATTTCAAAATTCCACCCTTCGTATGCATCCACATCACCAATCCTCCCACCAATCAGATTTTTTCATAGATCCTTTTTTTATTTTAAAATTTTCAGTAATCTAATTAGAATGTGCCACCTAGCACACACACTCTCTCTTCTTTTTCAATTCCCCTAATATTTTTAATTAATCCATATTTATTTCGTTTGAACTTCGAATTTAGATATTTTTACGCCAAAAAATCAAATTTTATGTGATCTACACAACGATATTCATTTTGATATATGTTGAAATGTTCTTTTTTCAAAAATATGGTCACAATCATATATTCATGAGTCACGCTCCTATTGGACAATTACTAAACTATATCAATATCATTTGATTCTACCTTTATGAAGTACTCATAGACATTCAAAGTTTAGGTCATTATTGACAAGATTAATCAAGCCGACACAAGCGACAGTCACTTGGGGGCAGTCCTGGAAGAGATTTGTCAGTATTTTCGTGCCCATCCGGGGTTTAGTGTGCGGTTTGTAGGTCGGGAGAACAATAGGGTAGCTCATTCGGTAGCTAGAAAATCCCTCTCTTTGTACCCGACTGTAAATCATTTCTTTGATTTCTGGGCCTGGCTGCTATCCAGAATGTAACTATCTTTTTGATTGGATTAATATATGATATCTTTTGACAAAAAAAATAGACATTCAAAGTTCGTGAGACAAGTTTCTTATTCTACCAAGTTATTAAATTGCATTAATGTTTAGTCTTGTACTATCATAATAGTAATTCACAACAATTTCATGGAGTACAAACTAAATTAACTTTAAAAAAATCACTTTCCGGCCAACTGTCCGGCTCAAAGCTAGTTTGTTATTGTAAGTATTCCTCATCTTTCTTACACGAAAAGAAAGGTCCAAAATGAATTGTGGCGCAAAATTAGGAAATAAGGGACTGACGAAAGGGCGGGATCCCTGCAAAATGAAAAGTCGAATGGCATAGTAATTGAGCTTTCTACGGTCACAACAAGCTTGATTCCTGGAAACCCTCCGGCAACAGACAGTACTGTGACGCAACTAATTTTACCCAAGATCTCACAAAGTGACAGGAAGATTACAGTTGAATGAATACACAGTGCTTTGGCATTCGAAGCACGCGTAGATTGACATCATATGAACCTATTTACAACAAACTGCCCGAGAGAAAGGAAAAAAGGGGAAGTCTCAGCTTTTCCGCTTTCAGTTCAAGTGTCATAATTATGCCCCCCATCTGCAGAGCATTGCGAAGCAGAATGATAGTAGGCTTCACTCACCTCCACACCCAATCTCACCTCCTCTCCCTGGCAGCGATCATTCAATCCTAAGTTTTCTGCTGGGGGGAAGGACCAGCAAACCTCGGCTAGGGCAGTATCCTCGTTATGTTTGCTGATTGATAGCAGTTTGGTATCAAGGTGGACAGAACTATCGACGCTGTTGGCACATTGCACATATGGTGGCCGGTTTGATATTCGCAAATGTGCAATGTTCACAGGACCAGTGACCTGAATCATCAATACTTGCTCTACTAGGGCCGCCACTTGACCTGGATGTTGACCCTTTGCCTTTCCCGCCTCTTCCCCTACTGCTACTACCACCAACACCTAATAAGCTTTTCGAGCTTCCAGTCCTGCTGGTGCCTCCATGAGCATCCACATCGGACAGACCATTCTCTAAAGCCCGGACTAAATTTTCAAAGTAGTTCCTAGTGACACTGTCACGCAATATTTAATGCCAGAGTATGAGACCAGGGACAAACCAACGCAGATAACTCGATCGAAGATAGAAGTTTACTGACAAATACCTTGTCAATCCAGCAAGCTTGGTGCGAAATTCATTGAAATCTTTTGATGGGCCCTCAGCATTCAGGTACACTTGAAGCTCCTTCTCTGCGCACTGATGCAGTCTCTCTAAACCAGACTCTGCCTCACCTGTGTGCTAGCATATGCTTAGGACACGAAACAGCTAAGTATAACCATCAAATAATAATAAATAAAATTCAGTACCTTGCAAATACTCAAAGAACTGCCTCTTGGCATGCTCGTGTTCAGGTATATAATAGCCATAGGAGTAAGTCCACTTCAAAACCCGGCGACATTCAACTATCTACAAACAGAACACATTCCAGTGACATCAATTTAACGCCAAGTCAGCTTGTAATTTTGCAGTGTGTTACAACATGAATTGTTTACCTGTAACCATGCCTCGGTAATAAACTTCAGCTGGGATTCAGGTTGGCACTGATTGTCACTCAGCTTCTCCAGCTACAAACGAACGTAATTAGTCACTCCATCAAATAGAGAGAGAGCGTGCATAGACATTGGACACAGTGCTAGACTGAATTTGAAGTATTAAACTTCAAATATGACCACGTCCTGGCCTAAGCATAATAATCCACAAAGTTCCTCTACTTACATGCACAGTTTGCATCTGTTGCAGGTCTGCCAATGCTTTTTGCCTTGACTGCAAGAAGAATAAACAAGATCAGACGCAAGATATTGATATTGCAATCTCAATTTGTCGGCCAAAAGTAACCACATTTTGTAAATGCTAGGAACTAACTGGTTTGTTTCACTTAAGAAAAAGAAATGGTAATAATTTATTGATTCTGAGATTTTGGATGTAAGATTGATTTTCTCATCCTACGATGTCAGACAACCAGCCATCAATCAATGAAACAAAATAACCGTTGCTTGGAAGGGCATGAAAGGGAAGCCAAAATGCAGTGCCATAGTATGCATATGCACCACGGAAAAAAAATTCTCTACATTTAGAAAGCAAGTCTTCTCAGCAGAGTTTTCATAAACACACCGACATAGATGATAGCCCGAAAAACATTTCCAATTAAAATTTCTGGTACTTCCATTCAAATAGCCTACACGTTCAGCCATAACTGGCGCCGGTCAGTAACATTGTAACTCACAAGAAGCAATGAAACACAAGCATTCCTTCCTGCTCAACTAACATTCAAAAGCAAGCCAACACTGAATAGCCACAAACTGGCACTTACTGATTGATTTGTTGCCCATCGCTCATAGTAGTGGGTATACCTCTCAAGCGAGTTTTTGGCCATTTCTCTTCTCTTCTCAGACTCGTCATACTAAAATCAAAAAGTTCAAAACCAAAGACAGTACATCGATTTTGTAATGATTACAAGATATAGATTGCAATATGGGGAAAGAAAAACTTAAAGAAACCAAAAGTAACCAAAAAACAGAATATACCACTCCCTCCTGTTTTGCTGTCTCGTAACGGTTACATGCATAAAAACCACCAGTCCTCTCCCCATGTTCCGACCACGCACCAAGGCAAAGCCTGTAATCAAACAGATCTGGAATAAGCTACAGCATCATACATTGTATCAAGCATCCAAATAATGACTTTGACGCTGTATATGTCAGACAGTCAACCTTGTTTTTTTCCCTGTGAATCACAAAGTCATCCTTACATGACATTGTAACAACCATCCCAATTGTAACAAATAGTAGATATAATATAATATCGAAAGGTTCTAAAAGCTGAAGTTGGACAATTGAAAATTTTGCAGTGCAATTCAATCCACAGATCTGATGCTAGAGACCTAGTCTGATGAAAAGAATTGCAATGAATCCCACCTATCTATAGTCCTCAAGGAGACCGTAAAAATATAAACACAAGGAATAGAAAAGATTCCAGACCAACAGGAGTTGCTATAGTTTATATACTCTTACCAGCAAAATTCAAATTTACAGGGAGGGGTGCAGGTAATATGCATACAGCCTTGATTCTTCTCAATTGGCCGCTTGCACTTTGGGCATGGCTTGGAATTAGCTAATATCCTGAAAAATAAATCAGCAAACTACGTATTGAGGCACATAAAAGAATTAGGATAGCTTTTTAATCATGTTTACCTACCACGAGCAAGACAGACTTGAACCGTTAGCCATGAGCCATTACCCAGGTCACATTGCATGAATGCAAATCCCAGAAAACAAATACCATTTCCTTCATAACCACTCTTTTATTGCCTTTTTTATCTGTATTTTCTCATAAATCTTTTCAATAAAGGAATTAATTCGAAGTCATTTAACCTGTTCTCTACACAAATAAATGAGTGACTTATAGCATAGGTCATCAACTTTAGATCTATCCTAGTTTCATTATTAAGAGAAATCATGAACAGCGGAGGGCCCTGCTTAATGTGAAACATAAAGGAATTAAAGAGGGAAAGAATAGAAAAAATTATAGAAAGTTTAAGACTACCAGTCAAAATCTCATCAATCTACCAAGAAAAAGAAGTATTTCTGACTTGAGATAAATTGGGGATTTGGGCTTAGCTCGGGTTTATTTAGGCAAAGGTAAGGATTTAAATATGGACAAACAACATATTTCCTTCAAAAACATGCATAGCAACTTAACAGGGTACTTCATCACCAAGGTTCTGCTACTAGTCCTTGCTCAATACATCTAAAGCTCGCTGAAATTGGAACACATGCAATTCTGCAACAGTAAAGTTCCAGATTGTGCTCTGACGGGTTAGTATGTCACCATATAGCATTTGCTGTAAAAATAACAGCAAAGCATCATGACATTCAAGGGTATGCTATCCAGAAAGTATCAAGGTGGGCTATCTACATTCGCTTTCAGCATGACTACCACATTATTTTCACTCTATAAGACTTTCCAGATCATGAGGAATAACTAACCACGAATGAGACTAGCGGGATCAGCCTATCTTCGTATAGCAGTAAATTAATCTTACCAAAATAGCTAATCAAATAACCTAATGTAGCATCCAGTATAGTTCCATTTCTTTTCTTGGAGGAACCAATAACTATAAGGGAAACTACATAATTGTGGTCATATTAAATACCAGTTCATGTTTTCAGATTCAGCACTGTTCTTCAGAATCCACTTAGCTACAGTTCCACAATCAACAGGCCTGTGAGCTTCCTCTGTACACTACAAGTTTATAGTATAGAAGACTGTCAGATAATGCAGATCAACAACTACATGAAAGAATTATATCAGGCCAAGTAGCTCCTACATTCCAGCAAAAGCTATATGAGCAGCGGCAAGTGACATCATAGCTCCCACTGCCAACAATAAAATCCACAGCATAATCACAGCCTGGAGCAGGACACCATTTGGTCTACAAGATAGAGCAGGCGAAATTCATTTAGAAACCACATAAAGAGTATGATATGCAAACAATAAAGGGAGGGTTGTTTGCAGAGTTATTTCAGTCGTAAAATAAGTAGCTATCCTAAAACTCTCCAAAATTTCAACAGCATCATAGCTCAATGGACCAAGTTAATCCAGCAATAGATAATGATTCAGGTAATCTTAGTTCTGAACGTACAGTCAATTTGGTTTCTGACACAGGAAACATACTTGTCTGCCCTAGTTGGATGTCATCTTTTATGCCAACACAAGAAAACCATAAAAGTCATTTAGGCCTGTGCCATGTTCGCAAGAGAATCCATGCCCTGACAAAGCCACTACAATATCCAAAATAAAGCAGATGCAGGGTGATAAACAGACAACTAACAAGCAGAGATAGTTCATAATTACAAGAAGTCTATGCAAAAGATCAAAGACTTTAAACAAAATTGACCGTAGGACACCAATGGATAGGGGAAAATATTATTAGAATCAATTGGTTGGCTTGGTCTATTCCAACTTCGAACAGCCTACTTTACTAGAAATATGATCATCTCAGCCAATGCACTCTTTATGTGAATTGAAACTGCCCTTTTTATATGAGAAATCGAAATGCTTATCATACTTTGTCCAACGCAGATGTCCATTACGACACTGGTTCATGGCTGAATTTACAAGGACTAAAATGTTATGTTGAAATTGATTCTTCACTTTCTGGTGAGAGGGAACTGATATTCACTTTTGAAATTGAGATATTAGATTGTCTATCAAGGACTATAATGTTTTTGGCAAGACTACCGGGGAAAAAAATAGTAATTATAATCAAGATCTAAAAGAGAGGTTACCTTCCTGTTATCCTCAATGTAAGATCTGATAAAGTAACGGGTGTATTTATCCTTATCTTCACCAGAAGCCAATGCAGTGATCATATCTTGACCAACAGCAGCGGCACAAGAGGGATCAGGACATCGCAACATCAAACACCCAGGACCATCGTTAATGGCAGTGCTAATATAACCTGAAGGAGAAAAGAGACTCTTTAGAAATTTAATCTTGTCACTCTGACATGATTACCATATGCCAAGTGTAACATATTTTCTACAAATCAAATGCTTTCTAAACTTTGTGAAGGATAGACAATAACGAATGAGGCTTCGACACAGAACTATAGTGAAACTTCAGTTCCTTCTCTTCTGCAACTATCGTAATAACATAATAATTAAACATATTTTAGTCTCAAAATAAGATTGTCTGAGCATGCAATTATAATTTGGTCTCAAAACTTCCATAACCTTCCCAACAGGCCATTTATCTATGGCCAAGGAAATGAGCACCAAAATTCTCCAAACAAAGAGAAGAACAATCATGGTGAACAGAGAACTGTATCCAAGACAAGACAAAGTGACACGCTTTCCCATTAGCCATCAACAACATCACTCCACAAACTTTAGGTTCCTTTTCATCTTTACAGGCCCGTGGAATCTAAAAGATTCAGACATTAAACATTTGATGCCACCTAACAATAAAAATAAACCTATATCACCCTTATTAAGAAAAAGCCTTATCTAGATTTTCCTTTTCAAATTAAGTAAACTACTACAATAAAGTCACACTGCAGAATGTAACCTCCAGCAATGCTTTGTAGGAGGAGAGTCAGTGTTATCAAGTTTTCTAATTAGTCAATTACTTAGTGATAGGGGTCTTATTTATTCCATTTTCTGGAGGTAGGAATCATTTTATAATGCTGCTAGCCTCTCTATGTAAGAGAGCCAGCAGTTGAATTTCTACACATCAGAGCCGGCATAAATTTTTAGAGCTTTTGCTATGCTTATTGTCACTATGATGCTGAAAATATCGGACCTTATGACCAATGGTGTTCCACTTCTTCCTCCACCCTAAAAACCCTATTTCCATAATTTCTTTTAACTTTCAGCAGCCCTATGTCTTCTTAAGGACTTCTCCCCACAACTTCTAAAGACTTTTACTGTGCTCTTAAGCGTGTCATTGTGGCTACGTGCCAAATCCTCACAATGCAAGGTTGCAAGAATGGCTTACAAACTAGGTTTTTTACTCTATCATACCGCCAGAAGTGTATCAAACGTATGCAACCTAATATAACAGGTAACAAACAATCATTTCATTATAAGAGTTTGAAATCAACTCATATCGAATAATTTTAACACTGAAATGATATTACACTAACCAACATACTCACATCAAATGTACCAACCAGCTGAAATCAGACTTGGAATTCATATGGCTTATACTGCAGTTGGCAGGGATAACCCTTTCCCGCTCCACTTTGACAGACGCACTAAAGGATAGAAATGAACAAGCATGAGAATTTTCAAGGTTACCTACCTGCCCAGCAAGTGTTACAAAACGGATGACCACATGCAGCTGCATGAAGTCTGTCACAGGGATAGGTTTCGAAACAAATTCCACATGTCATCTGTCGAAAAGGTGGAGAGGATTAGAATGAAGCAGAAACATGTCAATTTGAACTGCGCAAGCACATAATTAGATGTAAACCCCAGGAATCCACTAATACATCATGAGAAAGAAGGATTCCTTACTTCTCTACCATCGGGAAATGGCACAACAGGTAACTCCAATAAGCCAACAGCCTTACGTACTTTCCCTTCGTCAGCAAACCACTCATCATGCACTTTACTGACGCTCCTAAAAGTCCCAGAGCAAACGGAAGAAAGAAAAAGGAAATCGTGACTCGTAAGATGATGCCAGAGCACAAACCTGAACGAAAAATAACAATCCCAGTACCCATCCAACCTTATCTACAAAAACATCTTAACCCTTTTGATGAATCGCAACAGGGGTTTCATCATTTCATCAGTGCTCAAATGATCAATGACACTACTAAAACCAAGTAGAAAACTTTTCGCAGCTCCAGGAGCGGGTTTTCCCCACCGTTAGTCGTACCAGTTATAGTAACGGAGGAGGATGCTGCCAGAAACCTTCGAAATGGAGAGCACCGTAGATATTCTGGCCACATCATCGTCCTGACGACGATGAATATCGGCTTCGCTCAAAACCGTATAATTTTGCTAAGAGAATAGAAACAGAAGGGGAACAGTTAGGCAGACAAAAGACGGATGATGCTGAAGAAGCGCATGGAAAACAAAGGGAGAGAGCTGAAATTGTTGGACTGAGGAAAAATCATCCAACGAGGGCGGCAGACCTGGTGGCGATGTGAGACGAGGTCATCGGAATCGTCGGAATCATTGTCGATAAACTCGTAATCATCAGCGTCGTCGGTATCGAATCCATCGTCTCCACCGCTGTAGAAATCGTCTTCCGCGGATTCGGCCGCGTCTTGCATATCAAATTCATCCTCAGATTCCATGAAATCTAAGCCGGCACAAATGGAGAAAGAGGGAGAGACAATGAAGGATAGGGGAGAGGGTGAGAAGACGGTTGATTCCTGAAATTCTCTAATGGAGGTTTGGGAAATGAGAGAGCGAATCCAGAAAGAAAACGGAGAAAAAGAGGGAGGAATTGGTTGGAAGAAGAAAGGGAAATGTAGATGCGATGATGATCAAGCTTGGAATCAACAGCCGAAAAAGAAAATTGATGAATTGAAGAAATGCAATAGAGAAAAGCCAGAAAGGGAAAGAGATTGGCTTTATTCTTGTTATTTTTTGTGTAAGCTTTATTCTTGTTATTTATTTGTCATTTCAACCGAAAATACGGTTCTTGGAATGTCGACCGGTTGAATTAGATTCAATCGGTTTATGAAATCGATACTTATACTAGTTTAGTTTAGCCCTGATGTAGTTTTTGCAGAAGCAGTTTCTAACTAGAGCTTTTAGATAAGTACTTTAAAAAAACTACTAAAAAGTAGTTGAGTGTTTGGCTCTAAAACTATTAGAAGTGCTTTTTAATATAAGAGGTTGTGTAAAATGACTATAAAGGACTTATAATATTATAATATGAGTAAAAATTCTAAACAATAAAAAGTAGTCAAAATGGATCTTGTTAGATTTCTTTTATATTAAATAATATGATTTTATAATTTATTTTATTTTTAAAATGGTATAAATGAAAGAAAATTATATTTTTTGAAATAAAATTAAAATATGGTAAGGATAATCTTGTATTTTCAAAACAGTTTTTCGCAGAAGCTCCAAATTAGAGCTTCTGCCTTTATGTTATACAAAAACGCTTTTCGACTTTTCAAAAGCCGAGCTTTTACAGGTGTTTGCCCTGCTTCAGCTTTTGAACCCGAAAAGCACTTCTAAAAGCCGGGCCAAACATAGGGACTATCGGTATGATTGGAATGATCTATGTAAGAATTATAGCCAAGAGCTTACTCTTCGGTGCTCACTTCTTCCTCTTCAACATTCTCTCTCTTCCCCGTCCTTGTCTTCAAGTACAAATTGGAGGGCAAGTACCATGTAAGGTTGTTGATAATGTTATTTTGATCTTTCTCCCTTGTCACTTGTTCTTCAAAGTTGATCTTAAAATGAGGAAAGGTGTGGAAGTCGTCAATGAGACACTCTTGGTTAGGGCTGATAATCGGTGCGGTTTCGATTTCACAGCGCCGAATTGTCAGTTATTCGCCACCGATTTGGGTGCACGACTGCCAACCACCACCCACGCCGACGGAGACATTGGTTAGCCGCCACCGACATCGATTGGGTCGGATCGGTTGATTGGTTATCCGAAACCACCATTTCCATCAATCCTTCTCTCTGTCTTGGTCGCGAATCGAGGCTCAGAGACAAAGGATTGAAGGAAAATAGGGGAGGCGGTCGGTGTGATAGATCTGGTCGGATTTCTGGATTGATTGTAGTTGCAACGACTCTTGATTCACTTGCAATCTACAATTTCTCACCGTTGAAGGCAGGGAAGATGCAGGGAAGAAGATCATAAGTCTTCTCACATTTCCAATGGCCGATGACAAAAGATGGCGGGCAATAGGGCTACGACGACAGGAGGGGATTGAGGTTGAGATTGACAAGTCACGAATGGCGATTGAAGGGGGGCTTGTATGCGAGGCTTTGAGGAGAGCAGAGGGACTAGGATGGCAACGCTGACGAGGGAGATGGCGGGGCACCAAGGAAGATGGCAGGGCGACGAGGATTCTTCTGGACTATAGGTTCAATGGAGCCAAGGAGGGGTAGGGAAGGAAGGGGATTAGGGGAAAAGGAGTCGGAGAGCAGTTATGCGGTGACCGACACATTTTAAATCGACAGTCGCGCGGTTAGCTGCACCACTAGAATGACATAACCGCCAATCGCAGCTTCTAAACGGTTAACAGTTGGCCGACTAACCGAGATTCTCGGTTCGGTTTTGCGGTTAGCCGATTAACTGGCAACCGTTTAGCAGAGCTACGCTTGGTCATCCTCACCACATAAGCTCGTTGGGATTAGTTCATCATGCTCAGATGATCTTCATTAATTGCCTCTTCACCCTCCTCTTCCTCTTCAAATTATAAGAGAGTCATGCACAAGTTGGCTTAACTTTCTCTCCTAACTTCAAATTGGGAGGGGGGGGGTTAGAAAGCCACATTGGAGAATGCTCATTCAAAATTTCTCCATGGCAAGCTCCAATTAGCCCTTGGTATCCGATTGTAGAGTGTCACATTGATTAATGAATGTCTTATGAAGGCCTCCACAGCTAACTTCTACACAGATTTCACCTCGAGTTGTGGAAGGAATTCTTCTTGGTATGAGGGAGCTTCTTGAAATCCTAATGAGTATGGTTGTTCTTCATTGAGGGAAGGTTGAAAATTAAACCCGAATCATTGGCTTTCACCTTCACGGTTGCCCCATAAGCTTCGAGGTAACCTCATTCAAGTTTGGTGAATACCCCCACGTGTTGGAGAAGCCATTGGAATCCATGATTTAACCTACAAGAATAAAAACACCTTCAACTGCAAAGGTGGAAAGAAAATAAAGTAAAAAAGTATAAATTAACAAACCCAAGTCTTTCTTAATAACTTAAAATTCCCCGCTAATGATGACAAAAGCTTGAGTCCCTCTAAACTACTCTCTCAATCGAAAGCAAAGTATAACCAACGATCAGATGAAGTATATTAGAAGTTGAGTAATAAATTTTTTTGAACCCTTGGGTCTCTAGGTGTACCATTACTCTGCTTCGATTTGTATCCAGCCACACCAGATTTGAGATTAAGAAACTAAACTAACTAAACTACACTAACAACTATACTAACTAATTACAAGTTGGGAGCACACTTTGGCATTGATTCCCCCTATCCACTAGCCGAATCAATGATTGGCGATCCTCTAAATTGATTCATTATTCATCATAATGCGGACAATCCTTGACTAGACCTTGAATCTCTATTTGAGCAATCAATGACCTCTTGATTCGGTTGTTTAGGGAGTTGTAACCCTCTATAAAACAACTGATCTAGGCATTTGCAACTAGACCCCTCGGTTGGGTAAGGTTCCTACACAAAACAAAGCAAAACCCCAACTCACTCTCGTCTTATCGACCCCTTACTTCCAATATATGGTGCTCTAATTAAGCTGATTATATTTTATCTCTCATAAGTCAATAGCAAAATCATTTAATCTTGATCAAGGAAGAATTGGATATCAAAATATGCAAATATTGGATATGAAGTTAAGAATAACAAGATAGAGTATAAGCTCAACATGAATAGGGTTTATCAATACCTAAGTTAAGGAGATTATTCCATAGGGAGGAGAGAGAATACAATACCAAATTCAAGATCTTCGATCTTCATCTCTGGGCTTGATCTTCTAGCTCCAATGGTGATGGGTACCTCCAATTTAGCTCCAAAATCCTCCAAGATTGTTATCCCTCTCCTTGGAACACCCCTTGGGTGTTTTTGGCCGAAAACCCAGCTTTCCCCTCTCAAAAATGCAGCAACAACTTTATACTCGAGACAATGCATGAATTATTTCCTTCACGGTTGCGACAATTGACAATGACCGTGACGTCGACTAGTAATGCACCGCGTTATATGCACAAGTCAATGTTGTGTTGCCCATATCAGGGTTAAAATCATGACATGTGTTGGCCGGTCGTGACAAGTGCAATTGCCTGTCGAACGTCACAGCTTCTTCTGTAAATGTCATGGTTTGGAACCGTGAATTCTGCAGTGCCTGTGACATGTGCAAAAGAACCTGGAACTTTGTTGAATCTCACGACTTATTTTTTAAATGTCACGTCTTGGTCCATGACATGCGTGCTCTAAATCATGTCATTTGTCATCTTGTTGTTTTTTTCCCGGTTTTGCCTCCAATGGTCCAACAATTATTCCTTGCCATATTCACCTGCTAGATCTGAAATATACTAAAACTAGCATAACCTAGCGTGAAACGGGCTAGAGAATGACAAATGCAAGCCAGAGGATCAAGGATTGAGGGTCTAAACATGTACAAGATGTTTGTTCACATGACAAAGACGTGTGTTCTAAAATTGAAATCACACAACATGTAAACATAAGAATTCGACTTATTGAGTTCAACATTCAAGTTAAACATCCTATCACATGCATACCCCTTTCCCTCAAATTTCTCAATCTTAGTATGGGTATACAAATAAACATGCTTTATGAAACTCAACCTTGTTGAGAAGGTATGTTGAAACAAGATTCTTTCGTATTTTTGGTGTGTGCAAGATGTCTAGGAGGGATAGAGTCTTGCAATAAGTAAAGTTCAATTTCGCAGTCCCACATCCAGCCACAATGGTGGTGTGGGCAGTGCCCAAAAATACTTTCCTATCAGCATACACCTTAGTATATGTCTTGAACATAACAAGAATATTACACATGTACTTTGAGGCGCCAATATATAGCCACTTTCCTTCATATTTACCTGCAAGGTTAACCAATGATATCATCGCATTAATATGAGCTACCAAATCCTCATCTTCAATCAAGTTAACACAAGGATCAATGTTAGAGTTGTTCCAATATTTTATGACCTTGCTTTCTACAATTATAGCAAAGAAACATAGTGTCATTCTTAGATTATTGGACCACGACTATTTGGTTACCACGAGGGCTACCATTCTTATTGGTGTGAATCTGATTCGGCTTGTGGCTCTAATCCTAAATTTTATGGATTGGTTTCAGAGCCCTAGATGTTTAACAACCAACACATCTCCCTTCATATCTTGTTTACGAGCTTCCTCATCTATCCTAAGGCGAGTTATCAAACTTCCCAACGAAAATTCTTTGATTTTATTCATAATAACATTCTTAAAATCCTTCCACGAAGCGGCAACTTAACAATGATACTAGAAACTTGAAATTGATCATTAGGAGAAATACATTATTTGAAAATCTCATGGGAAATATTTTGGAGTTCATGTGACTAAATTTTGACACACTTGTCACCCACCATTTGGTAGCGCATGTATCGATTGACAACATACTTCTAGGCTCCAGCCTCCTCAGTGTTGTACCAATTCTAAAGAGCATCCCAAACCATCTTTGTAGGGTTATTCTAATTGTGTAGTTAGCGTTGAAAATAGGTCGGATCAGACCGGATAGTGGCTATCCAATACCCGCCCATCTAAGTTTCTGACAGGTATCAGGTAGGTACCATATGATGAAACAAATACTAAATCTCTTACCACACCCGTACTTCTGGATA